AAAAATGAGCGCGAAATTTCTTTCACATTTTTCAGTGTATTTATACGTTTGAGGTTACTCGTTCAGTAACGTGTGTGTAATAAAAAAAAAATATTTTATTGCTTCTGACTTTTGATTTATTTCATTCTGAGACATTTCCAGGTTTCCAAAAAGAGTTTTTAACAAAAAAAAAAGGTCATTTAAATAATCAAGAAGAAAGAAAAATCATAGATTTCGGCGAAATCATCGAAATCGTATACAATTAAGGGTGATTTCTCCGAAATCATACGAATTATAGGTACGTTTTGACCTTAGTAGTTTACTTCTCGAATTTTGACCACCTTCAAGGGCTTTTTGGCTCACTGTGCCATGCCTGGTTATTAAAGGATTTTTTTTTCAAACCGTTCAAATTCAATGACTTTCCCTGTGATAACTGTGAATACACTTGGATACAATTCATTGGCTCATCCAAAATAGATACTCGATCAGCGACTTAACTAATTAACTTTTAGTTAATATAATTATCTAGATTTTTAAAATTGAACAAAATAGAAAAAGGTTAACGTACCTACCAGACATATATTCATTATAAATACTTATTCTTGGCATGCAAACGCACGTTCAGTTACATGAACAAAGTGAAATTTTTCTGACTGACCAAACGGTGGATATATTTAAAAAACTGGTTCATGGATAATTTCGAAAAGTTGGATCGGTTTTTCACGATTCTCGGAATCTAAATGCATCATTGTATTCATAGAAATGATACAAGCAGTATCGCTTTGCTTTAAATCTTGCAACTAACTATAATTAAAAAAAAAAACTCGAGAAGACAGTTATTTTTTATTTTTTAAGAGTCAATTATTTATTTATTGTAACTACACGAACCGAAGTCCATTTACAAATATATCTGATACGATTTACAAAAGTCAAGTATAAAAGATCTAAGTAATAAGTTTACAATAAGAATAAATATACTAAAAAATAGAAAACAGTATAAGCGCAATTAAATCAAGAGGACAATGCCCTTCTTAAATTTTCTGTAAATGAATGAATTAAAATGTTTTTTTTTTCGAAAACGAAGCTAGGGTTTCATCCTACTATTCTGAGGTGGTAATTTTGAAGTTTTAGCACTAATATATTGAAGTAACTTACTTTTTATAATGTTCTACCTGAAATTATATTTGTAAAATTATATTTCACTTGTTATTTTCATTTATATTATAATAAAATGCGATTTTTTGTCTGTTTTAACCTAACTTTTAGAATCATTTCACTATTTCCTTATAAAACAAATAATTTCATGAAATTGTCAATTGTTGACACATACAATCCCTGAATTTGCAACGTTGCCAAACACTTGAATATAAAATTACTGTCTAATATTGTTTTGTTGTCAAAGTATATCAGATTTACCTGCAAGTACCAGACTTCACAAAATTCTCGCCAAAGATCCGAGACAGGAAGTCGGCTCGATAAAAAGACCCGACAACACCTTTACGGACTGTGGCAGAGCAACTTAGAGATTATTCTTCAGAAACACTTCCCAGGCAGTCGAATCCTGGAGGACAGGCAACATGTACCCCTTCCTTTAAGGGAATCGATCATACGGCCCAAAAAGCAAGACTGGAACCTTGTTGCACAAATTGTCTCTCCAAACGCCGTGAAATAGGCGATGAATTCATTCTCCCCCTTCAAATCACCCGGAGAGGATGGCATTTTTCCTGCCCTTTTGCAAAACAGACAGGAACTCCTGCTACCCCTCCTTGTGAGGCTGTTTAGAGCAAGCCTGGCGTGGAGCTATATCCCGCTAGAATAGACGATGGCGAAAGTAGTGTATATACACAAGGATGGTGATACCTCCCTACCAAACTCTTATCGTCCAATCTGCCTAACATCCTTTCTTCTAAAAATACTAAATAGGCATATTAGAGAAGGAGGCCTTTGGGCAAGCCCGTTAAACTCCTCCCAATGTGCCTATCAAGCAGGCAAATCGACAGATCATGCCCATTCACCATCTAGTAGGCAAAATCGGACATTCGCTCTTCCTAGATATAGAAGGCGCGTTCAACAACGCCCTTCCTCAGTCTTTGTTCGCTTCTATTGAAAGAAGAGGAATCGACAAACTAACTTATAATTGGATCAAAAGCATGCTGGCAAACATCACTTCATCACTGCAGGGAGAGACTGTCACTTTTAGGCCTGCCAGAGGATGTCCACAAGACGGCGTATTTTCACCCCTACTGTGGACCATTCTGGTGGATAACCTGCTAGACGATCTCTCCCGGCAGGGGTAGATTTTCAATGATATGCGGACGATCTGGTTATCATAATTAGGGGAAAGTTCGAAGAGGTGATCTCCAACAAGCCCTTAATACGATCAACAGATGGTGCGTGAGGGAGCAGATTTCTGTTAACCCCCGCAAAACTGTTATTGTCCCTTTTACCAAAAGAAGAAAGCTCGACAAGCTTCGCCAACCTACCTAGGCTGGGGAAACCATTCCTTTTGCGGAGGAGGTGAAATATCAAGATAAGAAACTCACCTGGAACCCCCAATTAAATAAAACCATTAACAAAGCCAAATTATCCCTCTGGACCCTTAGAACGATATGCGGCAAAGTATGGGGGATCAGTCCTCAACTGATCTACTGGATTTACCAAACAGTGGTAAAACCCATGATTACGTCTGGCGTCTGGTGGGACAAGGGGCTTCAACGGACGGTCAGAGCAAAGCTGGCTGGAATACAGCGGCTTGCGTGCCTCGCCATAACTGGAGCAATGTCAACCACACCTACGGGAGCCATGGAGACCATGCTGGACCTAATCCCTCTCCACATTCTGCTGGAAAGGGAGGCCAGGATGGTCTCTTACAGACTCCTGAAGATGGTTAGTCAATGCTACGAAGAACTGCGATGGAACAAGACAAGGCTGATGAGTGAAATTAATAACCACCTCATCCTCGGCATGGTCTCGGACTCGCTAGTTCCCCGACAGCACATAAAAAAGCCATACAGCATCCTCATTCCAGAGAGAGACGCATGGAGCAGAGGGGAAAAAACCTCTCCCAGGCATTGTACACGGACGGGGAGTAGGAGCAGGAGTTTTCGGCCAGAGGCCTAGAGTTGACTTATCAATAAACCTAGGCTCTCTGGCCACGATTTCCAAGCAAAAATGATAGCTATAGAATTGGGAGCGAGAGAGTTGATTAATTTTCTCCCGGCAAACAAGACTATAAAGATCTTTTCAGATAGCCAGGCAGCCCTTAAGGCCCTGAGCTCCAATCGAGTTGACTCAAAACTGGTTTGGAACTGTATAAATACCCTTAAATGCCTCGGTGCCCGGAACAAAGTTACTTTGATCTAGGTTCTGGGACACAGTGGTGTGAAGGGCAACGTAAAAGCCGACGCGCTTGCTAAAAGAAGAACCGAATCTGTGTTCATAGGACCAAAACCATTCCTGGGTATTGCAAAGAGCACGAACTGGAGAGTTACCCCAGGGCTAACTCATTAGAAGGCGTTTATATCCAACCCGTCTATGAATCCTTCTGCTCAGATCCGAAAATGGAATAGGAAAGATCTACGCATTTTCACATGACTGATGACAGGACTGGGCAACCACATGAGAAGGATAGGTCTACAACAAACATCGGACTGTCGATTATGCAGCGTGGAGGACGAGTCTGCAGAGTATAATCTGTGTACTTGTTCCGCTCTGGAAAAAACCAGGTTCCAGATCTTCGGATTTACCGTATTTTATGTATATTTGTTTGGAAAGCAATCTGTGGTGATTCCAGGCCGCACAGGTTAGGTAAATTAGTTAATATTTGTTTAAGTTTTCTTATTTTATGTATATTTTGTTTGCGAAACAACCCGTGGAGATTCCAGGTCGCACGAGAAGTCGTTGCTTCGTCTTCTTGTTTTTATAATCTCGTAATTTATAAATTTTAAATAATCCTGAAACTGACAATTTCGTTAACAACTTGGCAACATTGTAATTTTTAATACCGAATCTGTCATCTAGAGTAAACGTTTTGTAAATATAACCTGTAAAATTGAGGTTTTTAATTAAATTTTTCTCGAAAAATACTGTTTTTTACAGGATTTTTTTTTTACGAAACTAGTTTAATTTTTTTTTTGCAAAATTCGCACCTCAGGATCCTTTGACAAACCCCGAAGCTAGATATGAAGAAAACACAAGAGACTAAGAGACCAAAAAGTTGTATTTGAAAAAATACAAAAACTACAATAAAGTCAGTGGCGTCCTTTTTTTTCTCAATAATATTGGCTTTGGTACCCACTGAGACGCCACTGGACTCAATAGTTTCAATCTAGTTAGGATTATCCAAATTTAAACCAAATTGGTTTAAGGATATTTATAAAATACCCAATTTCCTTTTACTTTAACACACTATCTCAAAAACGAACCAACGACATATATGTTTATATTAATTTTTTTCATGAAACAACCTAAAAAATCATTCTCTGAAGTTTCGTACCTTAGTTATGAAACCACCTGTATACACTATTATTTACTCATTTAAATCTTACAGCACTTAAATAAATATTTAAGAGTTCTGAAATACTAAACAAATAAAATAACAGATAATAAAAAAGGGTTGTTTATTTGTTTTGATAAGTGATTGGGACCTCCAAAATACTACGACTAAAATTTCAAGGTCATTCGATTAATATGCGCCCAATGTGGTAATATTTGCGATCATTCAACTTCCCTTAATATTTCATTTTAAAAATTCTACATATAAACATCTCTAATAAATTCTATTTAGAAGTATTATTATTCTCCATATGATTTTTCACTCTCACTTTCAATGTATTTATGTTATCATCTATTATTACATATCCAAACACGATCGTACTTCAACCTTATTTTACACTAAATTGACCATATAATTTCGTTTAAAAATCAACGATACAATAACTACGCCTTATATCTCAACAGTAATGATGATTAAGAACGTAATGATTAGATATAATCAGTAGAAAATAATAAAATTTACTGACCGACTCAGACAACACCATTACCCCAGCCATCTTGTCACAACTTCAAAACTTGTGCGCAAACGTGGGTTTTAAATAATGTGCTAAAATGCCGCAAATTACAAATGTATCATGTAGGTATGCAACCAAGATTACAGACGAATATGTAATTTGCACAAAGGTGTCATATATCGTTGCTGATGCTGCAATGCGAATTATGTTACGAACAATTAATAACTACTACATAAAAATTCCTACATACCTATATCATTATTATCGGATAATTATAAACATATTTTCTGTATGAAATACTGACATAAAACAATGCAATGCATGGAGCACAGTTGGTTGCATACCTACAAACTTTTTGGCAAAGCACGTATCTGCAGTATGACCGACCCATATAACACAAATTTTCAAAAATGATTTAATCTTAATCCCCTAACCTATAATATACAGTATACTTCAAATATTGTATAGGTATCTTTCTTCTGATAATTTTGATTTCTATTTTTATTAAAAGTTGAAAGTGTCCATGAGCCAGCCCAGGGTCGTCCTAAGATGGGCTACTAAAAATAATGCGTTTTTATAAATCATCTAGTCAAAATTGGAAAAAATATTGTATATAACAAGTTACATAAATAACTATTAAATATTGACAAGTAACAGTTACCAGTAATGTACGATTTCATACATTTTGAGAAATAAAGTTTGAGGTTCTATTTTTTAACAAGTTGGCTTTGGAAACAAAAGTCTATTTGTTGTCAAAGTTTTCATTTGACATTTGAAAATCTAGATTTATCATAGAGATAGAATTAAATAGAGAAGACACTATTTTGCGATATGATAGATGGACGCACTTTGAGTGATGGAAAAGTGTAATCAAAATGGCGACATAAGAGTTGTACTTTGATTTATTTGAAATCAATAATTTTATATTTGAATATTGACGGAATTAAAATGTTTTTATATCATTTAAATGAAGCTATTTAAAAAAAAAAAATACATTTGTCACCAAAACTGACTAGCTTGAGTTTGACATATGACGTGAAAGTGTGGTCACTTTATTCTATCTCAATGGTCAAAGACAGCAGGCCCACAGTGTTGCCATATCATAACCTGTCATTACCGACAGGCAGCATTTTGACAGGTTATTGGAATTCCTAATTATGTATAAATTGGAAATTTAAGGTTAGGTTAATATATCATTGTGAAGACTTATTAAAAAATTCGTATATTGAAAATATTTTCAAAAATAATTGATAAAAAAAGGTGTATTAATAAAATAGGCTACAATGTATTAAAAAAATTTATTAAGCATTCTGTCATACAAAAACATTTTATAGCACTCTATACATAACAATATAAATTATTTAACAGATAATTAAATTACATAGTTCTTGCAATGGGCAGTGTATTTTGAGTCGCAAAATCATTTTTGAATACCCTGAATTTCAATTTAGTCTCAAAATAAAACTACTGAAAGAATTTGAATAATTTGACATATAAAAGCAAAAAGAATGTATAAATATTTTAATACTGGGATTCTAAGAGACAATTATTTGATGGAATTTTCAATTTCATACATATATCACATGAAGTCATCTTCATCCCTTGATGTCTTGATATATTTATAGTTTCAAATCATAATAATATGGGCACCTAGTGGTAACTTATTTGATTATGACAGGTTTATACATTTATGTTAGCTTACTAACATTATTATTCATTTATTATTTACACGTTTTCACATTTATCTCCTCTTAGAACATTTCTGGTGACCCTTTTTCGAAAAAGATACTTTATAGTTAACATAAGAAAATTACATTTTAAAATACAACGAAAACTTAAATTAAATTTTTAAATATTAACGAAAAAGACTTTTTTGATTTGAATACTGAAAAGTTTGAAAAAAACTTAAACTATGCTGGATTGATAGGAAATTAAATTTTTAAATTGTTTACTTTGAATACTGACGAAATTAAATCATGCTGCATTTATAGGAAATTAAATTTATAATTCTGTTTGAATTTGAAAAAAGAATTCATCTACATTGGTAATAAATAAAATACTGAGGTATATTTTACTTTGAGACTAAAAATAATTTAAAAATCGATAAATTCAATCTCTAACCCGCATATTCCAAATACTAGATCTTCTCATACCCACCGTTGGTCTAGCTACAGAACTAAATTTAAATTTGTTAATTTGCACTCTAGCTCCTAGCCCTTCTTGGATTAGTCTCAATTCATCTATGTCGTTATAACCGCCGTGGATATCGAGGTAGGAAAGGTTGTATAATTTTTTGAGACATCTGAAATAAAAATGATTGCATGATAATAATGAAGACGTTTATTATAAACAGTAAAAAAATGTCATTCACTTTTTATTTTCCTGTCTGTATAGAGATAAGGAAAGTATAGCAATCATGATTTCTTTGGACCTCAAGTTTTTGACGGATTTTTACTGAGAAACAGTAACAAAGATAAAAGAACAAATCACAACTCTTTTGAATATCTAATAGGCACGTTTTTTATGATTATATATATAAAAAAACGTGATTTATATAAACAAAGATATGAAGACAAAGTAATTATAATGAGTCATGAACAAATAAATTGACCTTGTTCAAAACCAAACTGTGACATATAGACAAAAGTAGATCAGTATGTCTTGATCTTTCAATATTTTTAAATCAAAATAAAATAAATAATAATCATAAACATACAATCTATAAATTACAAATATACAGGAATTTTTTATAGGAAACAAAACAAGAACATGGGAGAATAAATAAAGGGAAGTAAATGGAAACTGATGATGAAAATATAGTCTATTTGAAGAACAGGGAGTGTATTCTCAGAAATGTAGAAGTTTAACAAGTAATTTTAAAAAACCCTACACCAAAATCGTGCAGATGCCATTACAAATTGATTTTACTGATTTTCTTACAGATCCCATCATCTGATCTTGACCAAATATATATGGGAGCACTCTTATGGTACCCCCTTTCTAATAATAAAAAAGAATCATAGAAATCGGACATGGTAAAAAATTGTCGCTAAATATTAGAGGTGTGTCGTTCGCGAACGATTCGTTCAAAAAGAACGAATCAGTGCACTGACTCGAATGAATTAATTCCCTGTTTTTAAAAGATTCGAATCTTTTTTGAGTCAATTGTTCGACGGCTCTGTGATCGATCAAAAACGCCCAATTCCGAGTTTGGTTTTTTCGTTCATTCGGATCTGATTCAAAGATTCGGTATTTTAAATCAGCATCGGCAAATCGGTCGCTTTTGTTCTACGTTCTACAGCATAATACAAGAACTCGAACTTACAGGCGGTGGCGGTATGTGTCTGTAATGTTTTTCCTCACTTTACCAGAGGTGTATTAAACTTAGGTAAACAATTTATGCGCGTTGTCTGATAAATAAATTTAAATCAAAGTAAATAAGTAAAGCAATAAATGACGAATCATATATCTATAATTTTTCGTTAGTTTTGGCTATATTTAGCATTAAAAAAAATTGTGTTACTGTTGTTTATCTTAACGGACAAGGATGAACCTACTATTATAGTATTTAAATTTCCATCTGTCTTCTTTTTATGAAATATTAATTCGCTATACTTTAAAATATCAAATTAAAATAAAACCGGTATTAATTATTTTACTTAAGCATCTCACCACTCAAATCATTACATTCTTTCTTACGCATTACAGACTGAACGCCACTCGACGACCTAGTAAATAGGTAGTTCTCAAATTCGTAAACGTTCGGTTTGATTTCCTTCGACGGATCGGCGGAATAACATCGTTCGTGGTTCGCTAAAGTGAATCACTTGAGAACGAATCTTTTTAGGTGAATGAATCAAATGAATTAATTCAGTAAAAAGATTCGAACTTCCCACCTCTACTAAATATACATAAAAAAAATATTCCACCTTTTTTTTGAAGTCACCATTATATCAATTTTAAAACTCTTTTCATTTTATAATAGTTGTTCCCACCTCTTGTTGTCAAAATAAAATAACTGAAATTATCGATTTTTAATACATTTGGAAGGGGACAAAACTTGAGTTGGTATATGTTTCTTCCTTATATTTAAAAAAAGTTACAAAATATTTTCAAGTTTTTTTATTACTTTAGGAACTTTAAAACCATTCAATAGTGTGTGTGTGTGTGTGTGTGTGTGTGTGTGTGTGTGTGTGTGTCAGCAGTAACAATGTTTTCAGGTGTACCTCAGGGCTCACATAATATATATTATTATATTATATTATAATTATATTATATTATAATTATATTATATTATAATTATAATTATAATTATAATTATAATTATAATTATAATTATAATTATAATTATAATTATAATTATAATTATAATTATAATTATAATTATTATATTATATTATAATTATATTATATTATATTATATTATATTATATTATATTATATTAAATTATATTTATATTTATATTATATTATATTATATTATATTATATTATATTATATTATATTATATTATATTATATTATATTATATTTTATTATATTTTATTATATTATATTATATTATATTATATTATATTATATTATATTATATTATATTATATTATATTATATTATATTATATTATATTATATTATATTATATTATATTATATTATATTATATTATATTATATTATATTATATTATATTATATTATATTATATTATATTATATTATATTATATTATATTATATTATATTATATTATATTATATTATATTATATTATATTATATTATATTATATTATATTATATTATATTATATTATATTATATTATATTATATTATATTATATTATATTATATTATATTATATTATATTATATTATATTATATTATATTATATTATATTATATTATATTATATTATATTATATTATATTATATTATATTATATTATATTATATTATATTATATTATATTATATTATATTATATTATATTATATTATATTATATTATATTATATTATATTATATTATATTATATTATATTATATTATATTATATTATATTATATTATATTATATTATATTATATTATATTATATTATATTATATTATATTATATTATATTATATTATATTATATTATATTATATTATATTATATTATATTATATTATATTATATTATATTATATTATATTATATTATATTATATTATATTATATTATATTATATTATATTATATTATATTATATTATATTATATTATATTATATTATATTATATTATATTATATTATATTATATTATATTATATTATATTATATTATATTATATTATATTATATTATATTATATTATATTATATTATATTATATTATATTATATTATATTATATTATATTATATTATATTATATTATATTATATTATATTATATTATATATTATATATTATATTATATTATATTATATTATATTTATATTATATTATATTCATCTTTTAATTTTAAATGTATGTTAATATACTTACAATAATGCTTTGTAAGGTATCAGATAGCATCTGGAAAGTGCAAGAAAATTTAAATCCTCTAATACTGTGATCTGTCGAACTGAATCTCCTGTTACAGATGTACAATCTGATAAATCTAACTCTCTAAGTCGTGGACAGCTTGCAACTAAGTCAACTACATCTAAAAATAAAATAAAATGTATTATCAAATTTCAACTTTGTTTCAAAATAGATTAACTTACGTCTATCAGTCAAAAGTTTTCTGCATCCAGAAAAATTTAATCTATCCATAGTAGGAGGTAAATGTTCGCAGACATATTGAATACATGCAGTGTTTAAATATGTCCATGCTAAGTTTAATTCTCTAATTCTAAAAAAATAGTGCTGTTAAATTTGGTTAGTAGTTCACACTAAACACCATTATAAAAATGTCCTAATTTTAAATAAATAAAACTAAAATGACACTGTCAGTAGGATACAGCAAAATTTGAAATTGAAGACACTTACTTCCTACAATTTGTTAATAAATATTTAAGACCATCCTCCATCAGGCCCGTAGCCATGGCAAAATTAATCACCTCGATGTCTTTATTAGCAGACATGGCAATAAGAGCATCATCATTGACCTGTACATTTTCTAAACTTAGTTTTTTGAGACGCCGGCATTTTCCAAATAATACAGTCAAACATTGGGGCGACACAAATGCCATACTTAAATCTAAATAAAGCAGTCTTGATTTAAAGTCAGGAGAAGCTGCCTTGAAGCCTGGCAGTATTGGAGGGAAATTTATCTACAAAAATTAATTACACAACTATAGAGAATCTTAAAATATAGAAAAAAGAATTCTATTCACTTACAGACGATCTCGCTAGTCTTAAAACTATAACTTGTTTGCTTAGTAATTTTCCAAGTTCACCAGGTTCAAGATGTTTATTTGATACGTCCATTCTAGTCCACAAGGTTTCATCTTGAGTGAGCCTGTGGAATCTCTTACATACTAAGGCAATATCCAAAAGATAAGACTTTGGTAGCCATCTTAGTACATGCAAAATGACCTCATCTGATAGCAAATCAAAATAATCTAAAAGAGATAGATAATGAGTATTAAATTATGAATAAAACTAAAATTTTATTATCAAATGTTTATTACATATGTCTAAATAAGATAATTAACACTTACTTGTTTTATCAGATGGCATTATTATTGGTTTTGTCACTAATAATGCATCCCATTCTCCCAGAGTAAGTTTATCTAAAGATTCTTTAGTTAAAGTTGATTCTAATAAGGAAAGCTAAAAAAAGAGAATAGCCTGTAATCTCATTTCAAAAATAAACTTTTTATTAACTAATATATTAAAGAAATTAAGTACTTTTTTACCTGTTTATCTCGAGTATTTGGGGTCATGGAAGAGCAAGAGACGTCAATTGCTCCCGGCTCATTGCTATTAAAAATCGTATCATCATCAGTGAATATTTCTTCATCATCACAATCCAATCTGCCTACCCCATGATCAAAAACTTCATGCAATAACACCTTATTTCTATGTACATTCAAACTCCATCCTTCGGGTTTATTAAATTCATCGTCCTCTTCGTCATACCGCGCTCGTTTACTGTGAATACAATACGATTGAATTAAATGGTTTTTGTACTTTAGGAATTACTTCACTTACCGCACAGGTGATCTATCAATATTTACGTCTACGGGTTTTAATATACTAGAAGACATCTTTTTAATAATTTAATTTTGGGATTCAGCCATTCTCCACAAGAACTCACATTTGGTTTGGTACACAAAAGTTCCACATAAATTCCCTCCAAGAAATACAAAAAGCAGGTTGTCAAAATTTTTGACTCCTAGGGTTTTTTTTGACAGAAGAAATAATGACAGGTTCTTCTTTACTTCTATCTTGGCCTTCTATTTAAAATACTTACAATCATATATTATAACGCTACCTACCATGCCTTATTTGTAAGTACCTTTATACAAATAATGGAAAGAGAAATTAATAGTCTTGTTTCTAGTTTTTTAAAATTCAGAATTTGCAAAAATATCTCGTTTTTTGCATCTTCCCTTTTTCTAATTCTACCGTACGCAACAACTTAAGTATCTAGCCACCATTGCGCCTTGTAATATCAGATAAAGACAGGAAATATATCACAAAATGATACGAAAAGAGATAGAACGATAAAAGTTTTTATTTAAAATTTTTGTAGTGGCAATGAAACATGAAGTGAGGGTTTGTGGCCCTGTCGTTTTTTTGACATGTGATTTGTTTGCATTTTGCGTCAAACTACACCGAAGACAAATAAATAGGTACAAATGTAATTTTATTTATAAAATAGAAAGTAAAAATGTATCGAACAGATAAACAATTTATGAAAAACCCGGCGACAGCCGCTATGAGAATATACATTGGCGGGTTAGCGAAAACTGTAATTGCTAATGATCTAGAAGAGAAGTTCAAGCCGCACGGTACCATTGTCGGTCTAGCTCTAAACAGCGGTTTCGCCTTTATTCAGTATGAAAAGGAGAATGAAGCACAATCTGCGATAAAATCGGAAAACGGTACTATCTTGTGCAATAGAAAGATTATAGTGAAACAAGCATTGGACAAAAATAAAAATACAAATCAAGGACCGCCTCAAAGAGGAGGACCAGGACCCGCACCTCAACGTCCTCCACCACTCTTTCAAGAATCCCCTCCAAAGCCTAGCAATAATGTACAAGAAACTCCACCACCGCCGCCTCAAAATGTTGCTCCCAAACCAAGCTTTCCTGAAAAAGATGTCGATTTTTCAGAAGATGTTCTTGAAGATGATAGACCAAATATAAGACCTCCTGGGCCGCCTGGTCCACGCGATATGGATGATAATAAAGGTCATAAAGGTATGTATTTACATTATAATATATGTTTTAAAGAAAATGGTGTTTGTAAATGTCAGCAAAATTTAGAATTACATTTTCATTATAATGCTTTTATTTCAAAACTAGTCAGTCGAAATAACTTTTAAAGGGGTGGTTTCTATAAAAACTATTTCAATATTGCCTTTTTTAGCAATTCAATTGCTGAAATAAAGATTGTTTTTAATTTAAAGGTGGAAGAAGAGGAGGTCCCCCTAAAAATGTTGATAGAGATTATGAAAGATTTTCCGGCAGATTTGAACCGCCTCCAAAAATGGATATGTACAGGGACAACAGAGATCAGTTTTTCGGAAGAGATAATCGCGATTTTCCCCCTCCACCTCACAGAAACGAACGTTTCCCGCCGCCCATGATGGACATGCCGCCGCCTCCTCAAGTTGAAAAAAACGATTGCGAAATTATCGTGGTTGCTAAACAACTCACGTAAGTAGATCAATTATACTTTTTGTTATATAGGTTCAGGCCATCAAATGCTTTTTTATGTATGTTTATTTTTTTGTTTGTTAGAGAGTAGTTTAGGGTTGGTTCCATATAAATTTGGTCAAGATCTAATTGGGTCAATGAGAAAATCCTCAAACTCTTTGTTTTTTATATCAGCAATAATTCTTTGTCACCTTGTTCAATTTCTATAATTCTATTTTTGTTAGAAAGGAGGTACCTCTGGGGGTGGTCCTATATAAAGTTGGTCAAGATCTAGTAATAATATCTATGACAAAATCAGCAAACTCAATTTGTAATGGCATATGCATGATTTTGAAGTCGGTGTCTTTAAATTCATTTTATTTGTTTTTTTTTTTTAATTTCATTATAACTGTATATATTTCTTGTGTTTGTTCATAATATAATGTATTTTTAACACTAATTCTTCCTCTCTTCTCTCTCTCTTAAGAAACTCCATGTATATTGACTGTTGTAGCGAATATGCGGAATTTATTGAGCAGAAATTGAAAAATCAAGGTCTGTTGGTGGATTTATTGTTTCCAAATGAAGATGTTCCGATTGGCAAGGTTCTAGCAAACATTTCAAGTAGAGGATGTTTGTATGCAATTCTGGTGATGCCCATTAATGAGGAGCACCGAAGTTTGACTCTCAATATCCTCCATGGTATGCCACAAGGTAATAAAACATTTGTCAAAAATATAATTTATATATAAAAAGAGTGTTTATATATTTCTAGAACACAGGAATATGCCCGTCGATGATGCCATGATATTAATTTCGAGAGATTTTGAAAATTACATGAAAGGAGATAACATGCAGATAGATCCAACTCGAATGACATTAGTTGATAGGCATCCTACTCAAATGCAGGTATGTAAATCTTAAAACTGTCTTTCAAAACTTGCTATTTAATATACCATTATAAAAACAGAACTTTTTTAAGAAAACTATCATTTATTAAGTGTTGAAATAACTGGTCTACATAATGTAAAAGTCTTTTACATTTAGCTACAAAAATAAATAAAATTATCAACAAAAATATAAATTTAATTTATGAAATTATTTTCTTTCAGATGTTACTGAATCTATTATCGGAAAATCGTCAAATATCGTCCGTACAATATGACAAGCTCTTCAAATATTTACAAGAAAGGAAAACTTTGCAATTGGAATATGAAGTAGAAGAAGGTCTCTTACCTGGAGAAGAATCGGACTCAAAACAGGTGGAGTTGCAAAGTCGTATCATGAATATCTTAAATAAATCGGGCGAACCAGTCATTCCAGCATCGATCACGGCGCAAGAAGTCCCCCCGCCGCCCCCCAGCGAACCCACGCCGATCTTGAAAGACCCCACCGTGCAGAAGGCGTTGGACAGTCTGATGTTGGGTGATATGTTTAAGAACATAGCTGCTTAAGGTGTAAAATTGTTTTAATTTTTTTTATATGACATGTAATGATTTTAAGTTAGGTATGTTTTTAATATTTGAGATTGGAAGAATAAATATTAATGAATAAATTGATGTTCTTGTGTACAGAGTGTGTTATTAAAGTAATAATAATATTAATGATTATTTACTAGATGCATTTTACAATTTGAATTAATAAGAATACTTCTGAAGTAAAGCAAACATGAGGGTAACCCGTAAAATTATAAAAAGGTTGTGCAGGACGTAGTGGCTCTTGTTTATTTACATCTGGCATCAGTGGCATGTGAGTAAAAGTAAAAAAGTTATTTATAAACAATAAAAACACAAAATTAAAAAAATAGCAAAGTACTAATAAATAAACATACTAGCCCTATGTTTTTTTTGTATTGTTCTCATTCTATTCGAATGATATGTACTTCAAATTAACCACAAGTAAGTTGGAAACATATTTTAATTTCCTCTGTATAATCTGGTAAACGGTAAAAGGCAAGAAGCTGTAAAGGGATAAATAGTCCACAAAAATAATTTATAACATAATATACAAAATTTATTTTTTTTTACACAAAACATTGATAAAAGTCCCAGTCTATTTCAACAAAAATATGTAATCATGTAAAAATAAATAATTATCTAATTTAAAACATCACTGAACTGCTACACAAAAATGTTTTCTTAAAATAAAATTTGTATATTTCAAAATAATACAAAACAAAAATTAAGCTCGATTCAAAGAAAACATACAAAATTAAATATTAATATTTTTATCTAAAATCTTTTAAATAAATAATGTTTTAAATTAATTTATTTTGTATTATCAAGAAATATAGAAAATTCATAATTTCACTTTTTATTGAATTATAAATAAAAAATGATGTACATTGTGAAATAGATATCCCGTTATTTTAAAAAAGAACACAAAGTTTGTTTAATTAAATTTAATTGAACCTGGTACCCCTTAACAAGAATAGTACGGACATAAAAAAATCACATTAAAAACTATTAGAATATAAGGAGCCATCGAGGAAACTCATAATTTGAGTTGGATATAGGGTTGCCGGGATCCCGTATTTAGAGGTACATTTAAAATCATAATTCCACTAATTGATATTAAACATTTTATCAGAAAAGCCAAACACCCATAAAACATGGCCACACGCATTTGTGCATTGAAGTTTACCAAATCAAATTCTAAATACAAGTGATGACTAAAAATCTGTTACATTGTTCCTTTTTTTACTTTCTAGTATTAATTACCAAGAGTTTTATATTATTTTTTTCATCTGACAAATTAGATTAGTTTAATTTTGTGATTTCAGCCAATAAAAGCTCGTGACCCTAGCCAATCATTGAATTTTACACTTTTTCAACAGTTTCTTCATTTGTTTTTTTTATAAAACTATGTTTTGAACTGACAACTATACATAATTCAAAAACTTTTATTAAACTAAATTTCAAAATTATTGTTAATTCTATTCCACAAAATTAAAAATAGGTAGTAATATTTTGTATAAGTAAAACATGTTAAACGTCCTAATTTAAAACGAGTGTATCGATGTACATTTTAAATGAGCTGCAGCTGAAAGTGATGTCACACCTAACCCAGCAAAAATTGGACTAATTTGGCTATCCTCTTTAGTTGATAGTGGTCTTTAAATTTTGTTGGCTGACGTTATTTGTCAAGCAAATAAATTCCCTGAATGTTGGATGTAAGTGAAAATAAATTAATAAGGTAATTAATTTGTTTTTCGTTGATTTTAATTGGACATTTGGCAACACCGCGAATAATTAATTAAAAAACTTATACTATGGGGTTTCCGGTGGTATATTTGAAAAGTACTCTTATTCCTAAAGCCTAAACTGTAATTTTTGTAAAAAAAATTGATTTTTTAGAAAATCTTCCCAATATTTACCCTAAATTAACTAAATTACTCAGATCTTATTCTATTTTGTAGTTTAAGACATCGAAATCACCCTGTTGTCATGTTGTCATTAACAGGGTCAATGATACATATATAGTTATATAGATTGCTCAAAGCTGGTCGTTTGCGAGCGGCCATATTGCCTGGCAAATATTTATTAATTTGAATCGGTTTAGCAAAAATGTGTTTTAAAACCAATTTTTAGCCTTTAGATATTTAAAAAAATAATAATTGCTTACATTTTTACTTCAGGGCATAAGCTTATGTTTATTTTGAAAAATATGGATGATCAATCTATGTAACTATCTATTTCATTGACCTTGTCAAATAACCAGGCCTACAGGGTTGCCATAATTTTGCCATATCATAACCTGTCAAAACCCACTGGTAGCCATTCAGTTTGGAATGCCGAATTAGGCAAATGTCAAACTCGCGTGGGAGGAATACGATGATGCCGTATTTATTATTTTTTTCATGCAAAATTATTCAAATACCAGCCTTAAAATATTGGATAGCTATTGTTTTATATTATTTTTAAAATAACGAGTCATCTTATTTCGGAAAATACAGGATTACGATTTAATAAAAAAAATCATTCAAACGTTTGTCATTAGTAATTAACAAAAAAAAAACTACGTTGATTTTATTCGAAAAGCTTTACGTCTGTCTTATGGAATAAAAAACATTGTATTTTTTTTTAATAAACAATTTAAAATCACAAAAATCTGAATGCCGTTTTCGGTGGCCCGCCCTGTATAGTGCAAAAGAACGATTTAATTTGTCACAAAAATATCCACTCTAAAATTAAACAGAACATTTACATGCAACTTCATGTTTCTTATCGATAAATACTACAATTAACAGAAATTTTAGCGTTAATTTTACCGTAGATCTAAAATATTTGCTTTTAAATTTTATAGTAAGAGCAGTGGCGGCTTGTAACCAAAATATTGGGTTCACAATGACAATATAGATATCGGTGTAGGATCCAGTGTTTATAATAAATACCTTTCTAAAACATTGAAAGTTTTTTACCTAAATCTGTACTTAGTTCTATATTTTGTTATTTTAAACACCCAATATTTTGGTGACAAGCCCGTCACTGAGTAAGAGAGCAGGGTGCGTCACGAATCAAAGTATAATTTTTGATCGAATTGGATATAGTCCCTTACCTAACGGCCAAAAGCGGCATGTCGTGTTTTTTGCTTGCTATTTTTCGTAGTTGAGTATAGAAGAGGAGAGGTGAATAACATGTACTATGTCCCGGTGGTGGGAGCTACCCTGTAACCTGCAAACTTCGCAAATTTCATCCTTCCAACTTGAACGCTATTTTTATTTGAAATAGTAGTCGCCAAGGCTGCCAATTTATAGAAAATGTACAAGTTTTTTAATATTTTCATTGTGTTCGATGTAAAATATTTAAATTTAATGCATTATTTTTGTTTCAAGTATTGTAGATAGACTACATCGTATGTCGCAACCCTTTAGACATACCAACCCTTCGGAATGCTTGCAAAAAAACACGACGTTTCACTTTTTGCAATCGGATGAGGGGCTAGTAGCTAATTAATATTTAAGATAGCACAATACATGGTGGACCAGTTAAAAATTTCACCCCTTCTTATCTTTGTTATTAATTTATATATCAGTTTTGTTGTTTAGAAGTTTAGAGAAAGAATTTTATTATTGGGTGACATCATGGCGTACTTCCGGGTTATCCGGAAATAACAATAAATCGCAATTTTATTTTTTTTATTTCCAAATGAATAAAAATTCCAATTTATTGAACATTTTGGACGATTCTTTTATTGAAAATTGTCTGTCGGTTGTCAAAAAAGGGTCGCCATATTGGATAATACTATTTCTAAATGTATTACTAATAATTCCTTCAAAGAAAAATATAAATTACCTTTAAAAAATCTTTGTAAACTTTAATGTTTTGATTGAGACTACCCTAATTTCACCAGTGGCGTATTTACGCATTTTTATTAGTAAATCTCATAAAAATTTCACCCGCTTTTAGTCATTATTTGAGATTCTTTTTTATTATTGAAATCTTTACAAAAAAAAATTATTATAACTGATTAAATTGTTTTATTTAATGGCTTACTTTGATTTTTTTCGAAAATTATAGTAAATCGAAATATTTTTAGTTTTTAAATAAAAATTTCATTTTTTTATTTATAAGAATCGTGTATATAATTAATTAAATCTATAATTATTATAGAAAAATTAAAAAGGGAGAACAAGGCATGGGATAGTACTAATCAACGTTATCTGCACAATCTAAACGATATAGAAAAGTGGATTATCAAATTCATGTATAACAAAAATATCTGATGTGTCCTATGTAGTTATTACAGACTTTTTCCGGTTAATTTATACAACCTATTGTATCACCCCTGTAAATTAAAATGATAAAAAACAAACGTGGTAGATTTTGTTTTATTTTTCTAATTTAATAAGATGTATTTTTAGTGTTTGTGAAAATTTACTATGTTTAGAGGATGAACTAAATACCTATACATTTTTCACACACATCTTGAAACATTTTTATATACATTCATTGCCAACGAAATACTGCAAATTAAAAATTTTACACTTTTCCAAAAAAAAATTCCATTACTGCCCATATTAGAGAAATCATGTACAGAACAACTTTTGTTTGAATAATTTTCTTAAAAATTCGAATTTTGCATTTTGTCAAATTTCTTGAATACTAGAAAAATTTTGTATAGGACAAAAATTATAAAGAATAACATTACAAGTAACTTTTATTTGAAGAATTTTCTTTTCCAAGCCTAAATAATAGATATATTCCATAAATTACTACCTATAAATTACCCCCCCATGTTCCGACTATGTTCAAAATTTATTTAGTTCACTACAGCATGAATTAAAGCTTAAATTTAAAATTTGTCGTTTTCTTCTGTCGGTTTTTGAGTTTTTTCTTCAAAATTTAAAATGTGCACTTTTTCTCAAATATCCCGAATACGGTCCATTTTAGAGAAATAATGTACAGAACAAGAATTATAGAGAATTACATTACAAACAACTTTTATTTGAACAATTTTCTTAAAAATTCGAATTTTGCACTTTTTTAATTTTAAACTTTATTCTTTGTGAGCAATTTTTTACCTCAGGTAAATATACTAATCATATCTAATTACGCGGTCATTTATTTGCCTTTTAATTTGCAAAAACGAATCCTCTATCCAAGTAAAAAAATAATGGATTGAAATTTTTATTATACTTAGCTTATTATATACACACTACCAAACTTATGTGTGTATTTCTGAATAAACTTCTTGTAAGGAAAATATTTGGTATCCAACTTTAAGATAAGGCTTTTTGTTCAAAACAAACATGATAATAAAGAAGAAACGACTGCTGCGATTTATTATCTTGTGAATTTTGTGTTCAGAAATAAAATCACAATCCTCCGGTTATTTTATTTCGATCCAAAAAAAAAACAAAAAGTGCCTTATGTTGGACTAACAGATGTGTAGAGAAAAATGAGACATAGCAGAGGTAGTAGGCGATACCCAGAGTGTTGTATCGAAAACATATAAAGTCGTCAAAGAGTCACAACTAAACAACAGGACCGCCTTGGGTGCCAAATTGCTAGAAGAAATCCCAGTGTTTCTTATCCAGAGCTACAACGACAACTTTTGGAAGCTACAGGTGTGAACGTTTCAGTTAAAACCCTAAGAAAAAGACTTCGCATTCGAGGGTTGTACAGTAGGAGAGTTACGGGTCCCACCGTTTTCTAGGCAAAATAAAATTGACCGGCTAAATTGGTGCCTTCAACATCAAAAGTGAACAATTAAGAATTGGCAAAATGTTCTTTTTTCGGATGAGACCAGAATTGGCCTAAGATCAGATGACCTTTGAATTCGGGTTCTCGGAGCTCCAGGAAGATGAGCGAGACTCCACACTGCCAGATCTGTCTCAAAATATCAAGGAGGAACTGTAATGTTCTGGGAAGGTATTGAGCTGGGAGCAAAAAATCCATTGTTACCACTTCAACAAACTTTAACTGGTCCAAGGTATGTTGATTTAGTGCTAGAACCAATCGTTAGGCTTTGTAGAGCTGCAATTGGGGGTAATTTTATCTTTATGTACCTCCTAATATCAGCAGAGTGGCTAGAGAATGTTTTGAAACGAAAGGTGTCACAGTTTTAGACTGGCCTGCATGTTCACCAGAACTAAATCCTATCGAATACTTGTGAGAGACCAGCTTAAAAGTAGGATTAGAGCTCGTTGAAACATTGCAGGAAATGTCGCACAGCTTATTGATGCAATATTAGCAGAATTGGAAAACATACCCCAAGACAATGTTGATAATCTAATAAGAAGCATACCAAGGCAAATAGAAGCTTGCATAAGGGCTAAAGGTCGTAACACGGATTTTTGGCTATTAAAAATTTAAATCTCATTTCGTTTCAGAAACCAAAAAAATACCATTGTGTTTATTTTGTCAACTAATTGATTATTTTTATTGCCATGTAGGTTATTTGTCATTAAAAGTCTTTGGTAAGGACTGAGTATTATTCATAAACAATAAAAAATGTTCATACATCTCAAAAATTATGAAAAATAATAGATGATTCCATATAAGTTCGATTATTATTTATTATTTTGATAATCGCTAAGCCCTAGTCTCAATGGGAACACTGAGGCTTTCAAATTTTTTAAAGGTTATGGATTCTTGTATTCTATTCTTCCGCAAACCCAGTATGGCGGCCATTTTGACAGCTGACAGAACGTTTTCAATAAAAGAATCGTATCTAAAAATGTTCAATAAATTGAAATTTTCAATAAAACATTGAGTTTTTATTTAAAAATTTACTATTTCCGGACAAACCGTAAAATTATAATAATTGTAATAAAGTTCTTACTCTAAATTTTTAAAGAAAAAAAAAATAATTCTGATATTCCAATAAATAACGAAGTTACGAGAGGGTGGAACTTTTAGGTGGTCCACCCTACAAACTCAGAAACCGATATTTTGATTTCATCATAACGGGTTATAAATTCATCAAGGCTTTATTCTCGGAGGTAGGCTCTTCCATATATGCTACTAATTTAGTAGAATCAATCAGATAAAAAAAATAACTATCAATTTGATAAAAAAAAATGTATTTTCGTTCGAATTTGACGCAACCGAGCCTCTTGAGACTATTTAAAAATTATTGTTTCCGAAGAAACCATAAGTAAAATAAAGATTCTATATTGAAAATCGACAATAAAATTTTATTCAAGAAAATAATAAAAAATATCCACGCTTTTTATACAAATTATACTTAATAAATTATTAAAAACTATCTTCGCTGTCGTCGGGCAGGCCGTTGAAATTCAACGGCCCGAATCTTTGACCCGAATTACTTTCTGATTGGTATTCGTCCGGCGCGGGCGATATCGGAGAATCATCGATTTCGGTCGTGCTTCTGCCGATAGAGGGATCGAACGCCTCCTTGATTTGACTGCTGGCCCCTTTCGGGTCCAAATCGGTCGCCCAACTGAAGTGCATCAACGCCAAATCGGTGTTACCTAATTTCTTATGTACCTTACCTAAAAACAAAAAACATCGAGCTACGTTTTATGGACCAATCACTTTAGGTTTGATCCTGCACCGATCGAGGATACAAGATTCTATATCTTCTTTGCAGTAAACACTTTAACCATTATTCTTCAGTCTGAAAGGTTGCAAACTAACGTTATTTAAACGTTGTATGATAATTATTATAGTAGGATGTTATAGTAAAAAGTGAAATTAGTTAAAATATTGGGTCAATCACTAGAGATGAGATACAGGATTTGATGTTTTGTTGTACGTCTGCATTCAACTTATACTCAAGACTGTAGTGGACTGCTTACCAGAAAGGTTTTGAGTTTCTTCATCATCACAGGAAAATTAATAGCCAGCTGCGATTAACACCATTTTATGACATTCTTTTATTACGTCATAAAGAATACACCATTTATCACATTTTGCCTATATTTCAACTTTTTATTAGGATTATTTTATAAAATAAACGCTGTCAAAGGAGAGAGCTCGTCTGCCTAAAAGGTTTGTTGGACTCCAAGCGTTCATTGCACTAAGTCACGTCCAATCGTTTTGAAAGTAAGTATCCACGTGTCTGTAACGTAGGTTACTTAATGACCTCAAGATATTCAAATGTGCTTCAGGGTTGGTTTTTAAGATTTTTGAGCCCAGATACTAACTAGTAAATTTAAATATTGTTTCATGTTTTAATATGTTGAATGTTTCAACAACTAGTATGGCTAAATTTTTATGGAAAAGTCAGGAAACATAGTGTTAGAAATTATTTAAAGCAACTCTGACAACGCTGTATTCTGAGGCCGCCTGCGGTCGTTCGTAAAGAATGGGTATTCACATACGTGCGCTCGTGTAAAATGGCTGCCTGTATTTTTGTTCATCATTTTCGTGCCTTACTGTTTAATAATTTTTTAGTGTATTCAATTGAGAATATAATTATATCTTTGATTGAGTTTAGTCTCTTTTTGCTAACAATAGTAATTCGTCGGCTTTTACGTTATAAAAAATTGTTAACAATATCAAAAATGTACTACCCTCCACCTATCGCTTTTTTTTGGAAACATTTTAATTTTATTTGAACAATTCCTTGATCACTGACAGATCACGTCAGTTTGCAAACTTTCATAACTGATATACAATAAATTTAAATATTACAAAAGAACTTACCTATTAAATAGTAAACTAATGACTCTTTGGGTACAATTTCCTTCAGCTCTTCCAGCTCTTTGAGCGCCTCCGCGTGCCTACCTAAAGCGAAATATATGGAGCCTCTATGGAACTTGCACAATGGACTCTTTGGATTGTTAGCGATGGCCACGTTGAACGTGTTGAGCGCTTTCTCGGTTTCTTTTAGAGCGTGTTGCACCACACCTGCAATTCGAATCGATTCGTTTGTATCATGTTTTTATTTAGTGGTTGGTGACATATGGATAACTTTTTTATTATAAATTTAGGAAAAAAAGTTATTCTTTATAAAATGTTATGCATGGTCTAAAACAGAAAATTTAATCATTTGATATTAAATTGTAAATTTGATATTGTTAAAGAGTAAAGTAGCTTTATTTTTGATAAACCTCGTATACGACTGGTAAAATTTGATATGAGATAATTGTAATTTAAGTTTTAGACCATGCACAACTTTTTTTGAAGAATAACTTTTTTCCTAAAATTAGTAATATGCCACAAAACTTTGTAGTTTGGCGGCATATGGAAAACTTTTTTTTGTTGTCATTTTTAGGAAAAAAAGTTATTCTTTATAAAAAGTTGTGCGGGGTCTAAAATCTAATATTCAATAATTTGATATCAAATTGTATTAAAAATATGATATTGCTCAAAAGAAAAGTACCTTTCTTTTTGATAAACCTCGTATAAGACTGGTCAAATTTGATATCAGATAGTTGTATTTTGGGTTTTAGACCATGCACTACTTTTTATGAAGAATAACAGCATATGGAAAACTTTTGATATGTAGTAAAAACAATCATGGTCCCAGATAGGAATCCTGTGGAACTCCCAATACTGCCATCTATTCTTATTATTTGAACTTGAATAGCTTTCTATCCAAGTCAGAAACGCATAGAAAACAAGTTTTTTTTTAATTTAAATAACAATAGTGATTAACAAGTGTGATTAACATGGCCAAAAGCTTTACTAAAACCACGGTTGGGAAAACCTAAAAATTAATTTTTTTAAGTTTTACAGGTTTTTTGTATATGCCAAAAGTTATTATGAATACTATACTATCTGAATTAGGGCGTGGTTCAAAGCCCACTTGTACTGAAGCTCTAGGCTTATTGTACCCCTCTATTATGAATAAAATTAAACAAAAAATTAAACTTTATTATATTAAAAATATCACATTCTGCAAACAAACTAAAAAAGTGAAAAATAAATAAATGTATGTTTTTTAAGTGTCAAAAAACCTAGGTGTAAAAAACCTGTACCTGCCAACCCTGACTAAAACCCTAATAATACATGGTCAACTTACATATTTTTACAAAATTTACAAATAATATTTTATGGTCTTACCTATGTGACAAAGAATGACGGAACTCTTCGCATTTATCGACAACGCCTTGGCGTAATTCATCTCGGCCAATTTATAACGTTCCTGCTTGGAATAAATCGTTCCAATGCCGAACCAGGCGTTATAATGCCGCGAATCCAGTCTTATGGCGTTCCTGAAGCAACTCATCGCCTTATCTAACTCCTCAGTCGTGATGTATTCGTGTCCTAACAACGTATACGCGTACGGGAAATTCGGATCGACCTGTACGGCCCTTTGGAAAAATTTGATGGCTGTGTCGTGCTCCTTGTGCAACGAGAAGCAGTTCCCGCTAACGCACCACGTTACCGGAGAGTTTTTATTCAAGTTTAATAGATCTTGCGCCAAAGCTGATAGGGCCACTTCTTTTTGTAAGTGCCACAAAGCTGTTGAGTAAGTATCCATGTATTCCAAACGATACGGTTCCTCGCTGTGTACCTCTCCAAAGTATTTAATACTATTTTCGAAATCGGATTGTTCAAAGTAAGCCAAACCCAATAAGGATTGTACCCAGGAAGTGTTGAATTGATTCGGGGGTAGTTCATTGAGGCGGTTTATAGCAGCTTCGCAATTAAATTGTGATAGATCCAAATATGCTTGTCCTATTTCTCGTAGCAAAGACATCAAACCTTCTGCGCTTTGTTTCTGCATATTTACAACTTGCAACAAACAATTTTCAGTCGCGTTAGATAACACTCCTTTGTCCGGCTTCAACGAATCGGCAGAAGTGACCGTTTCATTTTTCTCCTTTTCATTCTTATTCTTAGTGTTCAATTCTGAATAGTTTGCATTTTTGTTTAGATTGCATTTAGCTAGACGTTGCTTGGTTTTTCTGGAAGGTGATTTCGGTGTAGCGAATTTATTACGATTAGGAGATTTGTTGTTTTCTTTGACTGAATAGCTGTTGCTGAACAATCTGGAACTGCGTCTGACGTTCTGGCCCGGTTGAACCGCCAATGGAATCGTAGGGGATTTGGTGACTGGAACGTTAGTGGATTGACTGAATACCGGTTTGCAATTTTGGAATATCGATTCCTTGCGACCGATAAACTGATCGACTTGCGCTCTGACTCTCTTCGCTAGCGACTGATGGTGGTTGTTTGATTCCGTTAAAGTGGTCGGTGACATATCAGGGGTGCCCAAATTTTCGTCGGGCGTGTCGAATAGTAGCCCGAAAGATGGCAATGTCGATTGGTATCCACTCCTAGGAGTCTGGAACAATACGAATCAAGTCAAGTAATAAAAAAAAAATTATTGTCCAAACAGGAGTACACCCAAATACAGGACAGCTTAAATATTATTAAGACAGATATATAAGATCTAAATTTAACAAAAATAAATAAAAAGTTAAAGAAACCAACTAATTTATATGTATAGGATATTTTGATTATATTCTTAAACTCATTTAATCAATCCCATATTTTGATTCCATTAATCAATATTCTGTCCAATGTTTGATAGGTAATGTCAGTGTCAATTTACGTACCTATAAAAGGATGAATTATTTTTTGGATTCAATAAAAAAATTTGCATAAAAAATTAGGCGTTATATTGAGTGGTTTTAATTCATATAAACCACCTCATACAGTTATTCCATATCTTATTGACAATTCAACTAAAGCTGGGTATTCATGAGTGATGCTATAAGATATCTTATAGCTAATATATTACGAAAATCTCTTGCTATTATAATAAATTGAAAACATTAAGCCGGCTACGGACGATAAGCGATAATATAATATATATTATAGCTCGGCAATGAGCTATAATATTATATTATATTATTACTGCAGTGGACAAGAATATATATTTTTTATTTTTCAATAGGCTAATCCCGTGAACTATATAGTGTAGTTGCAAAAATGACGATGGAGAAAAATTTGTTATCGCTAGATACCATTAATAGCTCATCAGAAGATAAATGAGATGCTGAAAGTGACAATGTATTATTATTAGCAATTAGGGTTAGTAACCAAAAAGAAACCATAAGATTCTGGTTATCAAATCACATCAAGTACCGAAAAGAACGAGGAGAATTTACACTTTTTAACGAATTAAGTGACGAAAAATTTACAAATTATTTTCGAATGGACTGAACTAATTTTTATGAATTTCATGATTTATAAAAAATTAAATAGAAAAACAAAATACAAATACGCGGAAAAGCATTAGTTCCTTAGAGCGACTGGTAGTTACTTTAAGATATGTATATAAATAGATTATTCTTAGTTATAGGAAAGTGACTTTTACTAAAAAACTAGAGTTTAAAAAAAAATCAACTAATTTTACAAACCTACAAAATTTATTTATCAAATCACGTTCAAAACAAACATGTAAACAACGCCGTTTTGCTTTCTTGGCGGGCGGCGCGACACAAGAGGGGGGAAATATATATCCTAAAAATCGCTCGGAAAGCATATTTCGTCCAACATTAAATATATCGCCCGGCATCGCCGGGATATAGATATATATTATAGCATCAATGCGTGGCGACTTGCACTTTTTAATGCAAAGCGATATTTTTATAATATGTGAGCTATAATATATATTATATTATCGCTTATCGTCCGTAGCCGGCTTTACATGTAAGCTATAATATATATTATATATCTAACAAAATTGAGGGGGAAAGTGGATAAAGGGGCTAACTGACAAAATAATGTTTATAAAATCACTCTTTTGTGTTTCCACCTGTAACTTTTGTTTAAAACTGAAATAAAGTATGATTTTTTGGCATAATGTTACTTGTTAGTTATACTATTAAACTAATTGTAAATTTTTAAAAAATATTACGATATTACAAAAAAATATGTAGATAACCCCTTTATTAATAACACAATGGAAGATAAATATTGGTGCTGTAGATGGATAAAAGAGACAAATTATGAAAGACAAGTTTTCTTATTTCCATTGGCTTCTTTCCCTGTAAAGAGTAATTCATAAAACCAACGATGCTATCAAGGAAACATATTTAATTTGTTCTTTTAAATCTTGAAGTATCAATTGTGACACAATGTTCCTAATATTCTTTGGTGTCATTAGTTGAAGTGGATGCAAATCTTGTTTTTGTAGATTGTTCAAAAATGACAAGCATTTATTCACACATACTTCAGTTACTTTATTTATAATCCACATAAATTATCCTGTATAAATAATATATAATAAACATAAGAACAACAATATATTTTATTTATTCAGTAGATTATATCAACAAATTTAAAAATATTTGAAGACAGCTCTGCCTGCATAGCAACAGTAAACATAATCTCATAATTTTAGGTAAACATATTTGCACACCTGCATTTTATTTACAAACATTTAGTGCCAAATTATCATCCATCTTCCTTATGGAAAATTAACAGCAAAATAAGCATTGAAGCTAGCCTTGTCACACTCATAACTTTGTTTGCGCCTACATAAGTATAGTAAAAAATGGACCATTAAAATATATCTACACCTGCAAACAACAATATTATTATATCCTCTGCAAAGTAAATCATCAGACAATGTTCCTTAACCAATTACAACAAAAACATCACAACTACTTACCCTTGAGTCGACAAGAAAAACTTTTTGGATTAATCTGAGATATTGATCAGGTGTGTATATATATTGTCTTATTTTTTCTTAAAACTTAAGAAACAGTCATTAAATTGCTATGGACAAAATACTTAAGTTAAGGAAATGGGTTGTTTTTAAGAGGAATAAAGGTGCCAAGTGAATATGTACCCTTTATGCATTTAGTTTAGACACAGTAAAGTTACTTAACCCCTTTATCTGCTACTTACTTTCTCAAATGGAGAAAATGTACCAACTTTAGAGACATGTGTGGGTTAATTACAAACATATAAGTTCGTTTATATCAAAAACCTGAAAATCAGAAAAATGTCAGCCCCTTTATCCACTTGGCCCTTCAATTAAACACTATATATGGTTTTAGAAATGTTCAGTGATAATTTATTCATGTTTAACCAATTTTCGATCATTCTTATCCTTTTGATAACTTTTACTTGAACATGTGTCATCTGCATAACAAATTGTTACACCCTCAATATCTAAAAGTTAACTATAAATAATATTGGACCCTGTGGAATTCTTACTTTTATCGTAACCATATCACTATGTTAATTTTTTATTTTTACTACTCATTTTCTTTCATTTAAAGTTTTGACAATTTCCCTTATTGCATAACTTTTAAGAACATTTAAAAGTTGTTTGTGGGGAACAGTATCAAAATACCTTTGCAAGGTTGAAAAAAACGCCAATATTCTTGTTATTATCTAAGCGTGAGATGATTCATTAAGTAGTTCATTGTACATTTTTAATAGATTAATAAGGAACATATATATCAAAATTTCAAAAAATTTACTTACCCCTCCTACATCAGAAAATCTATTTCTAAATTTCTGCATAGATGTAGCCATAGGATGAACACCAGATAGGGGTATTGGATGAGCCAAAGGGCTTTCTTCAGCTGGTGTATTGAACAATTTCGCATTTGAATTACAAATCAAAATTGGATTACTATTAATCAATTGTTCTGGTGTTAAAAAACTTTCTTCTGTATTAGCAGTTGCAAGATTGTTAGTAATTATAACACTATCGATATTACTGATGCTATTACCTAAAATCAATGACTTTTAGAAGGCGATTTTAAAGCAAATAATGTTTGTTACCTTGGCACATTGATATATTTTCAATATTATTTAATTGAAACACAGTTTTTGGATCAGTTCTATCTCCTATCTTGCAGAGATTCTCAAAATTTGACCAAAGAAATGGATTCAACTTCAAAGCTTTTTTCCAAGCCTCTAAAGCCCTTGTCTTTCGTTCCGTTTTAGCTGCAATCTTTCCAAGCAATAACAAAACAAAACAAGCTTGCTCTCCAAATTCCTTGATAATGGCTTCATCATCCAATGTATTGCTATTGGTTGCCTCTTCTAATATTGTTGCTTCGGCTTCTGCATATCTAAAACATAATACAACTCATAAATATAGCCCCAGAACTCTTCTTCAAATCTGCCATTACAGCCAGTAAATAATTACTTACTTTTCAAGCTCATAAGCACAAATTCCTAACAAATATCTACATTGGGAAGAGTTTCCAGTTCTGCCTTTTAAAGTATAATAAGCATGGTCTTTTTGTCCATTTCTAAAATAAGCTGTGGCCAATAAAAACAGGCTCTCTTCAGTGTTGACTAAAAAACATTTTTTTTATTATATGAAAATTTTAATTTATTACGACTTACCTTCAGCATACAAGCGTTCTGATAGAAATATAGCATCGTCATAATCGTAATGATTTAAACAATGCCAAATAGCAGCCTGAAAAAAGAAAATAAAAAGTAAATAAATAATACCCAAAAGTTCAATTTTATAAATTTACCTGTACGGGTTCTTGTACGATCATCTTAAAATTTAATGTGAAATTCCTACACCATACCCAATTCTTATTGTTCTTTGAGATTCCTAATATCAAAAAATAATATTTACTTTAGCAACTTGGGAAATGGAAAAATTAGATTATTCTTTTATTTGATTGACATAACTGACAGTAATATGTCAACAACCATCTTGTTTTACAAGGATAAACGTGCTATTTCATTAACGACAACTGTCGCACGACAGTCCGATTTGACAGATGATATAAAATGCAAATACGGCAACGCTGTATTTTGTATTTGGTCCTTTTACAAACTGGTTTTCTAAACAATATTTATTTTGAAGGTGAATGGGGGTTCTTCAAAATGAGCTGTAAACCATCTGAGATTAGGTGAATAACAAATTACTACTAACTAAATATGTACAATTTATAAAGCTCTAGTTGCTTTGAAAAAGTATATTTTATTTCTATTCGCGATTGAAATTAATTTTCCAGCGCTGTGTAACACGGTGTTTACACACATTGCGTTCGGTTTGCCACGTTCCTTTAACTCCTTTAACACTTTTAACTCCAAACGACTCTTTTAGCGTTCGGTTTAGTCCGATTAGTGACAGTTTAACACGCTTAAATGTCATTTAAAAGCACCCTAAAATTTGTCCCGCTCCAGCCCCTGACTGACCGAACTCGCCTACAGGACAGTTTTACTGTCACTGTCACAGACATGACAGTAAACTGTTCTGTGTGAACGCAGACAATCACAAAGCACATAGAGGTTCCACGTGAATGACCAAGGTCAAAACCGACAACTGACATTTTTTATGCTATTTGCTCCAAACTCTAGATGGGGCTACTGGTAAAATTCTGATTTCTTACTCCATTTTTAAGCTTTATGGGAGAAAGACTCCAAAGATGTGACGTGTATTTATTTATGTTTTTGGTTAATCTCATTTTTCCGTCTGATTTTAGTGATTTTTTGTTGGCTTTGGCTTTTGGTTTCTGTTTATAGTTTCGTCTTAGATATTTGCAAAATTGTGATGTTTTGTTTTTCTATTTCCTACTGTGTTTTGCAATAATTTTGGTGCTACCTGTGGGTGCTACGTTGAAAACTTCGAGAAAAACTTCATTGATTCACCATGCACCTGCATCATAAAAAGACAAACGGGTATAACAACTAATTGATAATCAATTTATCACTGGACTAGATTCCGAAATCATTTTTCACATAAGAGAGTAATACACAAAGCAGTGGAGTAATACCACCATCTGTATTTGGAAGGAAAATACCTATTTATCATTGAATGAATAGTTAAAAGGATTCACCTTTTAATACAATACCTATATTACATTTGTCCTCGGTTTAAAAGACATTTATAAAATATATTATTTTAGTGTTAATAAAATGTAATATCCTAGTCTCAACTTCACATTTAAATTATTGATAGGTATTTTAAAGATTTGAGATTGTATATTGTATATCTATTTGCTGCAAGTAAGTATTCGTTAAATATGTATTAATTATTTGTATTTATTTTTATTTAATAATATTTATTAAAGTTATTAATATACATATTTTAAGAATGTTCTATTTTATTATTTATTTAATAATAATATGCAGAACCAACTCTCCACATCAGACCCCTGCTTATAACAAATTAATTCCTCAAATTTGGTATAATCGACCTAAATTATTTTGTAAAATAAAAGTTTCGAACTTACTAGTTCCATTCTTTATTTTATAAAATAATTTATGTGGAAATAATTTAAAATTTAATTTAAAACTACTACCTACTCCTAAAAATTACAATTTGAATTTACCGCCATCTGTCAATTGTCATTTTAGTTCCAGCTCCAAACACAAGGTGGCGCTAATTTGGTTTAAAAGTTTAACATTATTGGCGTGGGGTCTCTAGAAGATACGTGCTTTGTGCAGACAATCCTTTTAAAAGACGAGTTCGGATAGTCAGGGGCTGGAGCGGGACAAAAGCGGAGTTTTTTAGGGTGCTTTTAAATGACATTTAAGCGTGTTAGGGCCGATTCCACCGTTGTGTTAAACGGAGAACGTGTGTCTTTTTTTCCACCGGTTTGTTGCAACCGTTGTTTCACCGATGCGGCCTTGAACGTTTTGTGTTGGATTCTGGTTGACCGTTGAAATCACTGATCTGTACAGATCAGGAGTGCGTTTAGAAACCCCGCACGACGCGTCTGAGCCCTATTCTAATGCATGTGGTCAGACGCGCCGTGCGGGGTTTCTAAACGCACTCCAGTGGTTGAAATAAATAACAGTTGACATACCGCACCGATGCCAACGTTGCTGCAACAGTTGGATAAAAAGACACACGTAGATTAAAATGACATTGTTAATGTAAAAATGTCATTTTAAAACTTCATTTAACACAACGGTGGAATCGGTCTTTAAACTGTCACTGGGTCCTATGATTGAACGTTTACGTTATCCGTAACATACATGTTAGGCCAAATTTTAAAAGTAACGAGGCAAGTTATTATGATGGAAACCTGTTAAATTAGAACATAACAGGCGGAATAAACAGTAATGTGTTGGAAAAAGTTTTCCATCGTACGAACTTGCCTTGTTACTGTTAAAACTCGGCCTAACATGTACGTTACGGATAACGTAAACGTTCAATCATACGACCCACTAAGGACCGATTCCACCGTTGTGTTAAATGGAGATTAAAATGACATTGTTAATGTAAAAATGTCATTTTAAACTTCGTTTAACATAACGGTGGAATCGGTCCTAATCGGACTAAACCGAACGCTAAAAGGGTCGTTTGGAGTAAAAGTGTTAAAGGAACTTGGCAGACCGAACGCAATGTAATAAGCAAATACACTACAGTGTTGTCATAATGTCATACCAATTTATTTGTAATAGAAATTTTGAATCAATAGGTAAAGTCCAACTTAAAGATATTATTTCTAGTGTCAAGATTTCCGTGCAGCGATTATCTGTTACCATGGCCACCTCGGTCACTGAAATTATGGAATTTTATTATATTTATCGAGTTCCACTTTAACAAAATAGTCATAGATTCGTTACAATTTAAATAACAACGGCAACGCTTAACCTACTTAGGGTCGATTCCACCGTTGTGTTAAACGGAGATTAAAATGACATTGTTAATGTAAAAATGTCATTTTAAACTTCGTTTAACACAACGGTGGAATCGGTCCTTATACAAGTTATAAAATGTACCTAAAGAGGACGTATCGCTTATCTTGAATCACCAATAGTTACAAGTACTCAATTTAAAAGAAGAAGAAACGGATTATGTGTAGACGTCAATGTCAAATTGTCAAAGTATGAAATTGTTTTCGTACGGGAATTTGGTGCACGTTTCAGGCCAGATTTTTCTATTTTCTAAAATATAAGTGGCACAAAAAAGGTAAAAGTCTATTATAAAATTACAATTTGTATTACTATAAATCGTTATTTGCTTTTTTAAATGGATTTTTAGGAAAAATGCCTCCCAAACCTAAACCCGGAGCTGCAAGTAAAAAAACCGAACAGAAAAAGAAGGAGAAAGTTATTGAGGTAGGTAACTGTTTTTTTTTTCAAGTTAAGTAGATTTACAGTAATGTTAAAATTTAAAAAAATATTTTTTGTGATACCTATCGTATTTAGCATTGATATAGAAGAAATTAGTCCACTGGATGGTGATATAGTTTAATTGACTGCTAATTAAATGTTACTAATACATTAGGTATTTTTAGGACAAAACGTTCGGATTAAAAAACAAAAAGGGATCCAAACAACAAAAATTCATTCAACAAGTCGAGAAACAAGTTAAATCTGGAGGAGTTCACCCAGTAAAGGATGATGCAAAGAAATTAGAAAAAGAAAAGAAATTGAAAGAGCAGAAAGAACTAGCTTCACTATTCAAACCAGTGCAAATCCAGAAAATTGAGAAAGGTATTTTTTTAATATGTTTCAATCTGTCCATAAACTTTGTTTTAAAATTACAGGAGCGGATCCCAAGTCAATAGTGTGTGCTTTTTTCAAACAAGGGCAATGTGGCAAAGGGAACAAATGTAAATTTTCGCATGACTTAACTATAGAAAGGAAAGCAGAGAAGCGATCATTGTATGTTGATATGAGAGATGATGGTGAAGAAGACACAATGGAAAATTGGGATGAGGCTAAACTTCAAGAAGTAATTGAGAAAAAACATGGAGGGTCAATGAAAATGCCTACTACTGAAATTGTAAGTTGAAATATTGAATTTCTGAAAACTTTCTGTTTTAATTGTGTACTTTTTTAGATTTGCAAGCATTTTTTGGAGGCTGTAGAGAAATCAAAATATGGATGGTTCTGGCAATGTCCTGCTGGAGAAAATTGCATCTACAGGCATGCTCTCCCACCAGGATTTGTTCTCAAAAAAGATAAGAAAAAAATGGAGGACAGAGCTAAAGAAATAACCTTAGAAGATCTTATAGAAAAAGAAAGAGCTGCTCTGGGTCCCAAACAAACTAAAATCACCCTAGAAACATTTTTGGCATGGAAAAAACGGAAAATTCAAGAGAAAAAGGATAATGCCAAGAAGGAGGAGGACAAGAAACGAAATGAATACAAAGCAGGTCATTATAATTACTATATTTTTTTTTTAATCAAATTTAATACTTTTTATTTTCTCATAGGTCGGCAAATTGGTTTGTCTGGAAGGGAAATGTTCAGTTTTAACCCTGAGCTTGCCTATGACAATGACATGGACGATGGTGATGATATATTTGATTCTTCTGCTTTTGCTAAAGATGATAGTGACGAAGAAGAGAAGGAGGTGGTTTATAAAGAAATTAATTTAGATATACTGGACAATGATGCACAAGAGGTAATAGTATACAATTAATTTACTCAAAATACCTACCTGTCACTTATGGAAAATAATTTTAAGGGTATTCTTGAAAATACCTTCAAATTCTTGTAATTACAGGATCATTGGCAACACTGCTCTTCACTTTGAATAGAAATTGATTATTATAATGTTCAATATGTAGTTTACTCCAGATACTCATCTAATTTCTAGAATTATTTATTTATATATTTCAGGAAATTAAATTCATAATTTAAATAGAGATAAATTCGTAATTTTTGAAAATTGAAAAATATGCCTTTTTTAAATCCCTGTACAATCAATTGCTAAAGTATTGCTTATAGTTAAAATATGTACCAAATTTAATAAATTACCGTGTATCTAGTTGTTGTAATCATGTACTGTTTATAAAAAAAGAATCTATTGTAAAAAGTATTTTGATTAAAAAATATTTGAATGTAAAAAGAGAATCGATAGGGGAAGTTAAGGTTTTTAGGGGAAAAACTGTACGATCAGATTTATCTTTGTCCCTATAGGTCATGACCTCCTTAATAACATTTTTTGTGGAAAACTCTTTTATAACATGTAAATTTAAGGTTGATGGAACGGGCACCGTAGCTACCGATGACAGGTTTAAAGAGGTAGAGGAATCCACTAGCGAGAACACGAAAGCGGCAGAGGGCGCGACCGCGGTACCCATCAACGAAAACCTTTTCCTCGAAGAAGATCTGGATGGATTGGATGAAGAATTAGATGGATTGGATCTGGAGGAATGAAAATAAGGGTTACCTTTTTCGACCCTATCGGATTTAGTTTATTAATATTAATTCATGTACTAAAGCTGTAAATATAATTAATTTCATCAATGTTTTTCAATTTTTTTTTTTTAAACTACAAAATAGTTTGCTTCTAAGCCTAAGTTTTAAGGAAATAACACAAAAACACAAATTCATATTATGCACTTTAATGTAGCTTGATAACATTTTCCAACATAGAACTACACAGGTCTTAAATGAGCACAGTTGAAAATTAGTTCCAAATATACAGGATGTTCCAAAATTTATCAAAGTAGTAAAGGAAATAATTTGTTATTCATGAATTATAATATTCCAAGTAGGCAAAGTTAAATAATGAAATACAAATCAGGATCAGTGAGTGTGTTAACTTCCTGAGAACCCCCTGTATATTAGGTAACATGTGCTGGAAACCAAAAATATGTTCATAATACACAAGTTTAAATTACAAAATTTTCTTTAAATCGCTGCAGACAAATATGATAAGTTTTAATAAAAACAAATTTGCAATATCTAAATTTTTTTCTAAAAAGTTAAAAGCCTTTGATATGTTAATTCAACTTACAAAAATGAATAGATTTTCAGTTTCATTAATTTTTTTATAAATATTCAATGCAATTTGCAAAAATTTACTTTTTTTTTCTCAATTATTTAAAAATAATTCTATATTTGCTGTGAAATTTTTTTTAACCATCCGATTCTAATGAAACAGTCTTAATTTTCATTAGAATTCCTAAAAGATTACAAGGTAACATTTCTATAAGCACTGAAGATTAATTACTAGAACATTGCTGGTCAATGATCATTTAAATAATAATTAAAAATACAAGGTGTTATCGAAATACATGAACTTGCTTATTCTAAAATTAATTTTAATGAAGCTGTAATGGTGATATTTTAAGATACGACTAAGGGGTTTGATTGTGTCAATCATACAGCATTGTTGCAAAAAACTTCGAGTTTATGGAATCAAAGAACTAATTTGTTATGAATATTTTAGTATGTGTACGGTAACATTTCACCCAGACTATTGTGAAATGTTGTATATTTGTAAGTAACTTTTAATTTTGTATCTAACATTCTTTTAAATTTTTTATTCACGTAATTGTTAGTATAGTATAATTATATTTATGTTCATCTATAAATTCTTGTAGCTTTGACACGTACATGTAATTTAATAACACCTTGTATATGTCTGGTAACAGGTATTTCGTCATATTATTCATACAATGACAGCAAAATTAATGAATCATATAAAAATATTGGACAATGTTTTATAGGGTTCTGATGATTGAGCCCTTTTAAAACTTTTGTGTGAATCGATAAAACCGATTATTATTTCCAAGAAATATATCCAGTTCACAAATATAATTTTAAAAAATGACGTCTTCGAAAATAGCATTTTCACACAAGTAAATACGATGTTATTTTTTTTCTAAATTGGTTAAAGATTAACGCAATTGCATAGTTATCAAATATTTACAAGAAAGGCACTTCTTACACATAGAAAGATGATTTTTCGCACAATTCGTTAATAATGGTCAAATTCTACTAATTTTCTTTTAAATCTAACATAATATTCGATAAGAAATAAAATCTACATTTAAATAAAAATGATTATCTTTCGCTTAAACTACATATAAAAAAACTGACCAATAAAATCATTCAAATCGCATATTCTATAGAAATAGTAAGTAGCAAGCGATTTATTTTGTAAAAAATAACAAATTTCTCTTTTCAACAATACACCTCTATCCAATTCAAAATAAAATTTAATCAATCACTGGTTTAGCTCCAAATACAAACGGACAATTTATTGCTAAAAGAACGTACCCCGTTCCAACAATGCTCTGATGGATAATAACGAGCAGGTACCATCCCGCTTATCAACATTTTCGGACGACGACAAAAATCACTCGGAAATTTTTTTAAGAGCGATCTACTCACAAAATGAGTCGCAGAAGAATAATTCCCAGGAAACTCGTTTCAGTTTCTTCAGCGCGGCGGCAACATTCCTGCAAAAAATCAAGGGAATATAAACGACATAAAAATAATTACTGAATATCGTCATTGTCAAGTTAAAATCTGCTATGTAGGTTTTATCAAATTTTACAAGAGACTGAAAAAATTTAACAATTGGATCGATATCTTCTCACATAACAGATTTTATAATCTAAAAATACTATGTAATGGATCCAATTATTACAAAATTATAGGAAGGTTTCACAAAGTCAAAATATGCCAATTTGTGATAAAATTCCACATAGTAGATACACCAAATTTTATATTTAAGCTTTAATCCATCCTGCGGTGAACTGATTAAATTATGGGCATAGTCGGAGCATCTGGGGGGTACTTTATAGGGTGTCCTTTTTCTGCTCTATGGAATATATTTGTTATTTATGCTTGGAGAAGAAAAAACTTTAAATAAAACTTGCTTGTGATGTTATTTTCTATAATTTTTGTCCCATACATCATTTTCCTATAATCATTTACTACATTTATATAGTTTATAAGGCAGGCGCAAATTAATCTTAACAAAAAATGAGAAGAAAAAAGAAAGAATTCACTACCAGTATAAATAAATTTGGACTTACCATTATTTGTCGTCAACAACCGATACAACTGCGAATTGGGATTCTCCAATTCGCTAGATTCGATGAAATTGTCAGTTTCGTTGATCGGCAGATGACAGTACTGCGCCTCCTCCTCTAAATTATAAGTTTCCAAATCGCCGCCGCCCATCATATTCTCAACGACCTTATCGAATTCCGTCACGGCATCGCTATTATTATCTTTCTTACCGCCGTCAATTTTGTCCATAATCATTTCGTTGTCGTCGTAATCGCCGTCCTTCCTCTGAGGCTCTTCGTCTTCTTTCGACGAATTCAACGGTTCGACGGACAGCAGATCGAAGTGCTTTTTCCGTTGGTGCTGCAGTAATTTCGCTTTGCTGGCGTACTGCTTGTGGCACCACTTGCAGTTCTGCGGTCTGGTGGTGATGCTGCCGACAGTTTGCGAAAACGTCGGATTCGGAAGGCCGGAAACCTCTTGTATCGACGTCGACTGTTTGCGGTTGCTCATAGGTAGCGCGGCGCCGGGATGATTCTTTAAGATGTGCGCTTTCCTTTTCGAACTGCTTTTGTACACTTTGTCGCAGTATTGGCAGTAGTAATCTCGGGTCGTTTGTAGGATAGGTAGATTGAGTTCGGGAACGGAATCGGGTGGTATGTCGGGGTGTCGTTTTGCCAGATGGTTTACCAACATTCCTGAATTTATTAAAATATATTTATATTCCATTATAGGAAAAGCAAATTGAAAAATTGCATTTACAAAGTAAAAAGTTACTAAAAAAAGTTCATATAATGCAGGCTACAGTTAAAATTTAGTATTCAGTATAAAATAGTAACTAAAAAAATAATTTGTGCAACAGGAATGGATTATATTGCACAGAGACGAAGTTTAAAGCAGGATGTCGTAGATTCAATAATCTAAGAACAGTATAAACAATTCACTTGAGTTGCACAGTATATTTTTTCTACGATTTACTAAAGAAAATTTTAAAAAATAATTTATGACTTTTACTAATTTATAAAATAAAAAAGATTTTAATTAGTCTTCAATCCTAGATTCGAGCTCCAGACTTTTCACATGGCAACTCAGCACTCCATCTCTGCACTAATGAGAACTATTTTTTGTTTAATATTCATTCAGAAAATTATATTGGTTTTATTCGTAAATATAGATGATTATTTAACACTATAATACATCAACCAATGACACTCCTCTTTTTTATTCTACACAGGTCAATCTAAACAAACTGTATATGCAGTGTTTTCACTCAATCCCAATTGGATTTAAAAAATTTAATCATCATTGCCAGAGTAACTTATAAATAATGTGAAGTTTATCAAAAAGGTGACAAAAAATGGACAAAAATCGGTTTGATTGTTCAAATATTAATTTATTATTAATATAAATTGTGTAAACAAATAACAGTAACGTTAAATTGTATTTAAAAGATCTGTTTATACTGTTAAATAATCTTTTCAAATACCATGGGAGGTGAAAATTTTTTTTGAGAATATTTTGTTGCTTCCTTATAAATTATGCAAATTTCCAAGGAAACAACAAAATTATGGTCCAAGTGACCTTGACTGTCAAATAACTAATCTTTTTAACTAGGAAAATGAAAATCGCTGCTCCTAGTTTAAAAATTAAGATAGTCGGATAAAAATAATAAACTTACCTCTACGCTTGAACCCGACCATACAACTGTGACACTTATAAATGAACCTATGAAAATCCGTAGGCTCCACTTTCGGCATAAACTTTCTGGCTTTCTCGCTTTTCTTCTGCACGTTAGGAATGGTGTTCTCCCTTTCCTCCGAATGGATCTTCTTGCAGTGCTCCTTCAACTTATCCTTCCTTTTGAACTGCTTCCCACAATGGGCGCATAGGAATTCCCTGTGATCGGAATGTTTTAAAAGATGGCTTTTCAGTTTGTCCAAAGTGGGGAAAATTTTCGTACAGTTGGTGCATTCGTGTGTCCGTTCACAGTGGAACGCTCGGATGTGTTTTCTAATTATGCTGCAAATTATTCAGAAATGTTTTTTACTATAAGAAAATGTGCTTCTGCAGTAACTTCAAACTTATCGTAAATAAATACAAAACAAAAATAAATTAACACAATAAATTGTACAAACCTATACTTTTTGAAGATCTTATGGCAATGCGGACAAGTGAAAGTATTGTTTTCGCAATGATTGGGCACATGCAATTTTAATTTGAGAACATGGTCGAAAGTGTCTTTGCATATGGGACATTCGAACGGTTTCTTCTCAGTGTAATGAGTTTTAGCGTGACACGCCAAAGCAGAGTTATTGAAAAACCGTTTCTTACAGGTTTTGCATTGAAACTGTTTAGCGTCGTCTGAATGCGTAATCATGTGTTTCTGCAAAAATAGGTTATTAATCAATACAACGGAGGTTTTGGATGAGTTGAGTCAACATGTTTAGGCCGCAGTTAAAATTCAGTACATATTTAACTAAATAATAACATCAAAATATACGTTTGATTTTAAATCATAGTTTAAATTAAATAAAATCATTAATGTAAATTAAAAACAGTAGTGGATCCAGAACACTATCCTGTGGTACTCCCATACTATTTTCTATAATATCACACAATTACTTACATTAACCTTTTATTTCTTATTTTCCAAATAATGTCCCAACCAGGTCACTGTGTGTAACCTCCCCCCAAACCAATAATTCCTAATTTCATTAACAATTTACTCATGTATGATATACAGGGACCTTCCAAATGACTAAATAGGGCTATAAACTTTAGTAACTGTATATAATTTTGTAATTACAACTCATACAGACTTGGCTTCTGAGCCTACCGTCGAACTATCGCCGTTTCCGATAATACTGAATTTTAAATACTGTCCTCAGTATAGATATGTACCTGCAAACGATCCTGATGCGAAAAAATCCTGTGACATATGTTGCATTTGATCTTTTTGACTTCTCCACTGGGAACGACGACGTGTTGCGACACGTGCAGCACCAGTTGTCGTTGGGTCGGATACTTTTTCTGGCATTCCGGACAAATGTGGTTCCTTTGTTCTTCGGAAGTGTCCGGATTATGTTTGAAATTGTGTATTTTCAACAACGCCTCGGATTTGAAGCTTATGTAGCAAACTTCGCATTTAAAAAAGCTGAAAATTTATGGATATTATTCATGTTTCTTTTGTGATTTAATAAATACACACTTTACTATTGTAAAATATTCTTCAACAGTCCCCTTAGCTCTTTCATGTTTTTGTAAAACATGCAACCTCAATGAATTGTAATTGTATTGGAAAAACATTTCTTGACACAACTGACATTCGACGGCGTCATAGTGATTCTTTAACAGTTTTCTCTTAATTCTATGCATAATCTTTTTTTTCGGTCTCGAATTCTCATCTTTTTCCTTGTCATGAGTGTCCAAATGCTTTTGTAATTCTTCGGAAGACTCAAATTTAAAGGAGCACTCGTAACACGGCCATGCTAGTTCTTGAATCGGTTGTAACACTGGAAGATTATAGAACTGGCCGTAAGCATTGCTGTACCATACCTAGAATGTAAAATAACTTTTTGGGATAGCTCTTCTTTAGGTTCTCTCTCAACCTTTCTTCTTTTAACTGATCAGTCATAGGGGGCGTCCATTAATTACGTGAGGTATTTTTGAGGATTTTTTGACTCCCCCTCCCCCCCTGGCGAGATTTGGTAAGATTTTCCTTAACTCCCTCCCCCCCTTCCCTAATCTCACGTGAGATTTTTCAAAATTCGTGTTTGGGTGTAAATATGTTGGATTATTAAAAAAAAAACCAAAACACAATATGTTCCATTACTTTTATTTAAGACTAGCAAAGACTAGTGTTTGAGAGTGTTGCAATTATTTAAATTCACATTAATAAAATTAAATGATAAATACTTAAATGGAAATTAATAAAATATAAATAAACATAATAAGATTTTTCCATATTTTATTCTAGAAATACTTTTACTATAATTTAACTTTACTTTCACGCAATTTTACACCGTTTTCTACTAGAAAAAAAATTACGTGAGATTTACGAAACCCCCCCCCCCCCCCCCCCCTTCCCCCCAAGTTAGATTTAGAAAGATTTAGTTTTATCCCCTCCCCCCCTTGAACACCTCACGTAATTAATGGACGCCCCCATATATAAATCGTTAATTTAGTCAAAAAAAAAATTTTTTTACATGTCAATACATCTTTTTAAAATATAAAAAATACATAAGTATAGACCCAACATACATTTAAAATACAATAAAAAATATATAAGATACAGTACACTTACATGTCAACTATACAAAACATAAAAAAACAAAAAAAAAACATCAATTGGTCAGCAAGTTTTCAGTTTTCTTTTAAATATTGCTGCGTTTGAAGAACATTTAATATCTTCAGGCAAATTATTAAAAGCCTGTACACCTTTAAAAACACTGAATTTTGTGTACATTTTTTATTTGTATTGTGTTCATGAACATCCTGATTATAACTTAAAATATTTTGTAAATATACTGGATCAATATGATCTACAGAAGCAGAAATACGTTATTCCCAGTAATACACAAATACAAATTGGAACGTTTTTATCCCCTTAGAAATTATTACCTACTTTTAATTCCTGTTTAGGTTGAATATTTGTCGTGGTGGTAAAATATATAGCATTATTTTCCTGAGAAATCACTAAATTTTGCTCCTCGAAACTCATCGCCTGTCTGACAAACATCATCCAATTGGAATGATCTGTGAAAACACAATCAAAATTAATGTAATCAATGCCAAAATAATTAAATTAAACATACTTTCATCTGCCACGTCAATCCTAAATAGTACACCCTCAGTTTCAATCAAAAATATTAATTTATTTTCTTCTAATTTTTTTAACACAGCTGGATCGTTGTCTGCAGTAACAAGAACACCTTCGAGAGGTCCAAATTGTGATCTTTTTGGAATGGACTTTTTTGCAATGACGGTGGTTTCTAAAAAATGTATAAATAAATAAGAATTAAACATGAAATGTAACTATTTGACCAACCTTCATTTGCCTTGCCAAACACCAGATAAGACTCTGGAAGAGTAGCTCTAGCTCTGGTTAAAATTGGTTTGTCTGTTATACTATAAACACAGGACACTGAAAAATATCGGTAATTTGAATGTTATCAAGACAATTATTTCATTTAAAATGGCCCTTATTTAGCAAACAATTATTGGTTTAGCAGTATTATAATTCACAATTGTTTCAAAAAGTTTTAGATTGAATAGTTCAAATGTACCAAAAATTTAAGCAGATATACTTAATTTTTGAAGAAAATTTTACTTAACTTTTTTTAAAGAAACAATGTATTTTAGTGGGTTTTAAGATGGTAGTTCAAATGTACCACCTTTAAATTCAATTAGAATTTCCACAAAAAAATATGTTCTAATTTATATTCCAAGTTTTTAGTGAGTAGTTCAAATGTACCAATCTTAAATTTTAATAGATATGCTTAGTTTTCACAACAAACTATTAATTATTTTTTAGAAAGCTTGAAGAAAATAGTTTAAATGTACCAAATATAAATTTAACCCAAGAACACATTTTAAAAATAAAGTTGTGCAGGCTTATTTTGTATGACATTAAGTGCTTTCTGAGAAACTTTAAAAGAGTAGTTCAAATGTAATAAACAAATTCATACATTTATAAGAAATGTTCTAGTATCTTTTCTTCAATGTATAAATGTTTTCCATGAAGTTTTAAGAGTAGTTTAAATGTATCAAATACAATACAAAACTATTAATAGACCAACAGGTAGTTTTTTATAAATATATACATACACAAGTGGTCATCAGGATCTATCTCAGGCTTATTGTTTTGCCTGGTAACTACTTTCTGATAATCCATAGCATCATTGACTTTAGTCATTTTGTTTTCTGTCAAATTATTTATGTAATTATTCACAGCCTGTGTATTAAGTGCTGCCATTTCATTGGAACACAAGTCCAAATCATCATTTAATTCAGATTTTAGAGTCTTATCGTCCAAAGTTAGAAGATCGGACTCCAAAATTGGATCAGGTGCTAGAGATTCCAAAAGATGTTGATCATCTTGTAAGCAAGGTTCTACCAAAAGTTCTTGTGCATCAACGCTATAGGAAATACCTAAAAGAAATTCATTAGATCTCGTTATACAAAAAAAAAAAGAAAAATTTGCCTGTGGCCTCATCGGTGATCAGGAGTTCAACTTTTTGTTGTTCTCTTTCTGGTACTAACTGCAAAGCTTCAGAATTTGCATTAACTAGATCAGATTCATTTTGATCTACCATTTGTAAATATTCATTTCCTACTTCTCCTCTAACACCATTACTACAAAGAACTGTGGGTATATTATCTAGTGATGTCCCATTCAGGTTACTAAAATACAGTAAAACTCTATATATTCCATCTTCAACATCACAGGTATATTCATTTTTTCCAAATGTAATATTATATAGTATAAATGCAGTAAAATTCAGAGTACAATGTTTTAAAAACATTAAAATATTTCTTTAACATTCCATAAATTATATCTCCATCAACTAATAAAATATTAAAACAAAAACATCTATATTTTTAACAATCTGATTATTATTTTACTGCTCTATTTATATTTTGCAAGAGCAATCGGTACTACTTACCTAATGTACTGATCACCTTGAACGGTCCCATCCTGGGTAACAAGCTGGTGTATTATGACAGGGTTATATTCTGCAGAAGAATCATTGTATATAGGACTGTAACTAGCAACAGAACTCATATTAGGATCCAGGGGGCTAACCCGCGAATCCAGTTCTGCGTAAACTTCATCTTGAGAAGTTACAGTCCTATTAGGATCGTCATCCACTTTATAATCCTTTACATATTCAACCTAAAAATAATGTTTTGTCAAATTGTAAACACCAGTATCAATTTGAAAGGGAACATAACTTACAGCAATGTACAACAGCGTAGAATTATTCACAATTTCTTCAGTTTGTGAATTCCAGCTAGTTGTGTCTACAATACTGATATCTTGAACTTGACCTCTTTCATTTTGAAGTCCTACATTAATAGTGTCCATTGTTAACTACCTAAGAACAAAAATTGATATGCTGAAAACAAACAAGCTACATAATCCAGCATTTTACTCACCTTTAATCTAATGTAATAAAAATTTTACAATATCAATTTAAAAATAGTTTCACAGAAATGATAAATTCATTATTTTACTTCTACCATTCTTTTTTTAGTAAATTACAATAAACCTATATTGCTTTAGTGTGTAAAATGATTTAAAATATTTCTTATTATTAATACAAATCGATTAAAAGTCTTCATATACCTCACATTTCATAACAAAATACGTCACGATTATCCACCATTATGATTTCTGTCAATTAAATGTCACTTGTCATTACGATGAAATGACAGCAGAAAATGGGTGGGTTCGGTATTACTAACATTTTTAACACAGGTTTTTTCGTTCACTTTTGGTGCAGTGTCCACCAGTGTAAATTACACCAGTTACACCACATTAGATTCTTTCGTTCGTTCCACTGGAGGTCGATTCTCGACTCGTAGGAATATTTTCCTATAGGAATTTGTGACACTTTCCTACATGTAGACAAATGTCATAAATTTCCGATATGTAGAAAAATGTCAAAAATTCCTATAGGAAAAAATTCCTACGAGTCGAGAATCGACCCCCTGGTGTAGGAATGAACTACACTAAACATTTCGTTTGCCCCGATGTAAAATGCTGTAAAATCCTGTCGGCGATGTGACTTACACTCGACATGTATATAAGAAAATAGAGAGGAAGTAAACTAGGGTAAATAAGGTGCTGTAACCACTGAACTGTATATCAGTTCACTGGCTGTAACTGGTGTAATTTACACTGGGACACTGCGCCAACAGCGAACGAAAGAACCTCTTACATTGCGTTTGGTCTGCCAAGTTCCTTTAACACTTTTTACTCCAAACAACCCTTTTGGGTCGTTTGGAGTAAAAAGTATTTAAGGAGTTAAAGGAACTTGGCAAACCGAACGCAATGTGTGGAACCCATTAGTAATTAGGCATTCCAAACAAATGAATTACCAGTGGGCAGGTTTTGGTATATCTAAGGGTGGCGACATATGGTGTATTCTATCTACTTTACGTAAAATCATGAATAATGGATTACATTTAAATATTTTATGTCAAACACAATAAAAATAATATTTAAAAAACCCACCTATACATTTCTTCATAAATTGGCAGGCTTGGCGAGTACTTCTTCGAATAAAAATAGCGTCCAAGTTGCAAGACTATGTCGCTACCCCCTTAAATATACAAGAATTTCCCACTGGCACCTATTGTTTGACAGGTCGTTGGAATGCCTAATTGCTCTGGTAATTGTCAATTTAAAATTAGGTTAGGTTAACGTATTTTCAAAATTAATTCATGTTTTCTAATTTGTAAATTCTTTTTTATATTTGATATATCAAATGTTTGGAGTGATATTTAAAGACTTGTTGAATCATTCTAATAAATTCAAACTCCTTTCAGACGTAAAATTTTTGCACAGGTTGTCTCCTTTGTTTTCTAGAATGGTTAACAATCCAGCTGCAAAATTAGACTTGGAAATAAATAGAATAATATGGGTAGATTTGGAGGTAGGATCTTAATATATAAATTATAATGATTCGTTTTTCAAATACATTTTCAACTTTGGATTTTAGATGACAGGATTAAATGTAAATCAAGACAAAATTATGGAAATTGCCTGTCTTGTCACTGACGCAGATTTAAATATAATTGCTGAAGGTCCGGATATTATACTTCAACAACCAAAAACTATTTTGGATCAAATGGATGACTGGTGTAAAAAACAGCATCAAAAAGTATGTACTTTTTAAAACTATAAAGAAAGAGCAATTCAGTTATATATGTTGACACAAATTAACAACCATAACGTTTATTGTAGACAGGTCTTACCCAAGCTTGTTTGGATTCTCTTGTAGGCCTTGAAGAAGCAGAAGATCAAGTCTTGAAATTTGTCCAACAACACACCATGGAAAAGATGTCACCTTTGGCAGGCAACAGCATTTACATGGACAGAATGTTTCTCATAAAATATATGCCAAGATTTCACAACTACATGCATTATCGATTGATTGATGTGTCCACAGTCAAGGAATTATGCAGAAGATGGAATAGTGATGTTTTCAAAAATGTTCCAAGAAAGAAGTTCTCTCACAGAGCTCTGAGTGATATTAAAGAAAGTATAGAAGAACTCAAGTTTTATAGAAGTAATTTTTTTAAATTGGATCATTGTATATGATTTTTTTTTAGAAAAATTGAGAAATCATACTTGGTTATGCTTAGTATGGTTTTAAAATAATTGTAAATTTAAAATTTAACAAATAAAGAATGACCCATATTTTTACTGTGTAATTATATTGAAAAAGTCACTAATATGCTATTTACAATTTTTTAAGTAAAACATATATTCAACTTTGTTAAATATCTGAAAGTCATAAAATAAAAAAATAGTTATTTGCTTAAAAAAAGTACAACCCAAAAAATGAATTTTAAAAGAGGTTAATGCAAAGTCATAGAAAAATAAAAAGTGCAAAGTTGTTAAACTACTTAATAAGAATTTTTAGAGGTAGTATTGCTCGCTTTCTCTAAAAAAAATTAATATTCAATTTGTGGAGATAATTCAAAAAGCGAAAATACATAAGCGTGTAGTGTGTCGCATGTGCTGTGGTATTATTTCACTTAAATAGGAAGTAAAATAGTAAATAACCATATTTTAAAGAGTCATATGTTGTAAAATAACACTTAAATTTTGTAAAAACGCTTAAAGGCTGTATGTCACGATACTAAATTAAGTACTAAATTTAGCACTAAATTAAGTTATTAATTTAGTACTAAATTTAGAACTAAAAATTTTTTTTTCCGTTTGCAACGATACCAATTTTTAGTACTAAATTTACTATAGGCGCACGAGCATTGACGTATTAATACGTAAAATTAACAGAGAAATGAAATATTATGTGTAAAACAGACAAGTAAATGGTGTTTTTATTATCAATTTGACACTAGTTGACTTGACAACAACCAAATACAGCATAAAAACCAAGAAAAAAACAATAAAACCTATAAAATCAAACAAGCGAACTTTATTCAAGGCGACAATGTAAAATTGTCGCTAATTAAAAATAAAAGGGTACAGAAAATACCGTCGTGTCAACTTTTTCTATGAAAAACTTCTGCGCAACATTTCGGCGCACTTTTAGTACTTAATTAATGACTTTTTTTAGCACTAAATTTAGTACTAAATTTGCTGTTTGCAACGTGAATTTTTTTAGTACTTAAAAAATGCATTAATTTAGTTCTAAATTTAGTACTTAATTTAGCACTAAATTAAAGGCTGTATGTCACGATACTAAATTAAGTACTAAATTTAGAACTAAATTAATGCATTTTTTAAGTACTAAAAAAATTCACGTTGCAAACAGCAAATTTAGTACTAAATTTAGTACTAAAAAAAGTCATTAATTAATTAGATCTTGTTCTATTTTCTACTAAATTTAGTACTAAAAGTGCGCCGAAATGTTGCGCAGAAGTTTTTCATAGAAAAAGTTGACACGACGGTATTTTCTGTACCCTTTTATTTTTAATTAGCGGCAATTTTACATTATAGCCTTGAATAAAGTTCGCTTGTTTGATTTTGTAGGTTTTATTGTGTTTTTTTCGTGGTTATTATGTCAACTAGTGTCAAATTGATAATAAAAACACCATTTACTTCACTTGTCTGTTTCACAAAGAATATTTAATTTCTCTGCTAATTTCACGTATTAATACGTCAATGCGCGTGCGCCTATAGTAAATTTAGTACTAAAAATTGGTATCGTTGCAAATGGAAAAAAAATATTTTTAGTTCTAAATTTAGTACTAAATTAATAACTTAATTTAGTGCTAAATTTAGTACTTAATTTAGTATCGTGACATACAGCCTTAAGTTATTAATTTAGTACTAAATTTAGAACTAAAAATTTTTTTTTCCGTTTGCAACGATACCAATTTTTAGTACTAAATTTACTGTAGGCGCACGCGCATTGACGTATTAATACGTAAAATTAACAGAGAAATGAAATATTATGTGTAAAACAGACAAGTAAATGGTGTTTTTATTATCAATTTGACACTAGTTGACTTGACAACAACCAAATACAGCATAAAAACCACGAAAAAAACACAATAAAACCTACAAAATCAAACAAGCGAACTTTATTCAAGGCGATAATGTAAAATTGTCGCTAATTAAAAATAAAAGGGTACAGAAAATACCGTCGTGTCAACTTTTTCTATGAAAAACTTCTGCGCAACATTTCGGCGCACTTTTAGTACTTAATTAATGACTTTTTTTAGCACTAAATTTAGTACTAAATTTGCTGTTTGCAACGTGAATTTTTTTAGTACTTAAAAAATGCATTAATTTAGTTCTAAATTTAGTACTTAATTTAGTATCGTGACATACAGCCTTAAGATGTAATTTTTTTCCATTTATGTAATACATTTTGGAGCACTGTAGATCTAAAAATTAAAAAAAAAAAAAAAAAGTACAAATGATAGATTGTGCAACAGAGCACCAAAGGCCGTTTGAAATTAAGAAAAAGAAGAAACAACTTCTTTTTAATTATAATTGGTCTCTTACTTATTATGGTACTAGACAATCTTCTTTTTAATTTAAATACCTTGTATCTAAAGTGTTACTAGACATTCTTTTTTATATTTTATTTGGCCTTTTACTTGCTAATATGATTAGTTAACTTCAGTCAAAAGTTTTTTAAGGTTATGTTATTACAGTAGCGTGGTTTAATTGGTAAATTTAAGTTTTTGAGGTTGGTTAACAATAGACGCTCCAGTTGGCTACACTGCTTACTGCTTTACTTTTCATTTTTTGACAGTAAAAGTTTGGTTAAGTTTAACTTGCACGTGTTGAATTTCGAAAAATGAAATATTGTTTGCGTTGATTGATGAAAATTTAAAAAAATGGTAACTTTTCAAAAATAACAATATAAACATATAGCATAAATAAAACTTCTCATTATTATATTTCAGACCAAGTTATACGTTTTGTTTGAACATGCAGCTGGATATGGCGTTTTTAAAGTTGAAGAATTCGAAGAAATTGGAATGCTGCTTCCGCAGTTAGAATCAGCCGTACACGATTTGAGTCGATTTAATAGCATTATAAAACTCGTTGGATTTTCTCCATTTAAATCAGCTTTGACGGCTTTAGAAAATATTAATGCAATATCAGAAGGTAAAGATCTACACTAGATTGTTTTAAAGGATTATTTTTAGTTTACAATTATCACAAGCTCTATGTATCTTTTTATAGGTATTCTTCCTGAAGAATTACAACAATTCCTGGACATAACGGTTCCCAAAGGTGGGAAAAAAGGCAAGCTTACGTTAGGAGTCAGTGATCCAAAACTTTCAGCTGCCATAACTGAAGGTTTAGGAATTACATGTAGTCATGTTGGTGCTGTTCCGGAAGTCATCAGAGGTAAGAAACTTAAATTTTCCATGTTTCATCATAATTTTGATGTTTTAAGATTTTATAATAGATTGTTTTGTTATATTTATTTATTTTGTTAGCCATTCGTCATCATTTCCACAACTTGGTGAAAGGATTCACATTAAAAAGTTCAGGAGTAGCACAGTTAGGATTGGGACATTCATATTCACGTGCTAAGATAAAGTTCAATGTACATAGAGTTGACAACATGATTATTCAATCAATAGCATTACTGGATCAATTGGATAAAGACGTCAATACATTTTCTATGAGAATTCGGTAAGAATTTTGTGTTTTATCAATTCTTTGCAATCATTTCAATGCAAAAATTTATTTTTTGACAGTGAATGGTACTCCTATCATTTCCCAGAATTGGTCAAAATTGTACCTGAAAACTACACTTATGCAAAAGTAGCAAAATTCATTAAAAACCGAAAAGAATTGTCAGAAGCATCATTGGAAGGTTTAGAGGAATTAACTATGGATTCAGGCAAGGCTCAAGCCATTTTGGATGCCTCCAAATCCAGTATGGGAATGGATATCAGTGACATAGATTTGTTGAACATAGAAATGTTTGCCACCAGAGTAGTATCGTTGGCTGATTATAGGAAGCAGTTGGCTGAATATCTAAGGTCTAAAATGTCAGATGTAGCCCCAAATCTAGCTACATTAATTGGTGACCAAGTTGGAGCTAGATTGATAGCCCATGCAGGTTCTTTAACTAATCTTGCTAAGTACCCAGCATCTACTGTTCAGGTATTAGGAGCCGAAAAGGCTTTGTTTAGAGCCCTAAAAACCAAAGGAAATACTCCAAAGTATGGTTTAATCTTTCATTCAACATTCATTGGACGTGCAGGCACCAAAAACAAAGGCAGAATTTCAAGATACCTCGCCAACAAGTGCTCAATAGCCTCCAGGATAGATTGTTTTTCTGAGACACCATCTCAGATCTTTGGAGAAAAATTGAGGCAACAAGTTGAAGACAGGTTAAAATTCTATGAATCTGGTGATATTCCTAAAAAAAATATTGAAGTTATGAAAGAGGCTATTGAAGAGTATGAACAACAAGTTGCTCAAATGAGCCCTGAAAAGAAAAAGAAGAAAAAGAGGAAGGCAGAATCTTTGAATGATACAGCAAATGGGGAAGATACTGGTTTGGATGAATCTGGACCCCCCAAGAAGAAGAAAAAGAAGAAGTCTGAGTCTTTGGATGATACTGCAAATGGGGAAGACACTGGTTTGAATGAATCTGGACCCTCCAAGAAAAAGAAAAAAAAGAAGTCTGAGTCTTTGGATGACAGTCAAGCTAGTGAGTTAAATGGCACTCAAGAAGATAATGAAGACACACCCAAAAAGAAGAAAAAAAAGAAGAAACAGCAGGATGAGTAATATTGGTAATTTTTTAATACCAAACTATAATTTTATGTTTAGGATTAAATGGGTAAATGTATCCATTTTGTTAGTTCATTTTTCAATTTCAATTAAAAAAAATATTGACATATATATGTAAGTTTTTGTTGTGTAAAGTAAGTACTAGGTTTTTATTCATTCATAAGAAAACCTAGTTTTTTTTGTTAGTAACTGGACCATAATAAAGATATTTTATAAAAAATTACCGATTTTAATTTGCAATACTTTAAATAAAACCATAGATATATAAAGGATGTCACAAAAAATTTATATAAAAGGGAAGTTTTCAGAATAAATTACCATAAACTGGGGGATTTGTAAATCCTAACTAATTATTAAGATGAGCTAAAAATAATTTTAATTTATTTTTATTTAATAAATCCCAAACGTGTACATTGGACTTTTTAATTTTTAACAAATTTATGCTTGATTAAGGATTTTCAAGTAATGCAGCTTGATTTTTTTTTGTTAAATTAAGATGTAATTTTTTCCCATTTATGTAATACATTTTGGGGCACTAGATCTAAAAAAGTTTTTAAATAACATAGATTGTGCAGCAGAGCACTAAAGGCCGTTTGAAATAAAGAAGAAGCAGTATTTCATTTTAATTGCCTCTCACTTGTTATGTTACTAGACAATTTTTTTTAATTTAGATGCCTTGTATAGAAATTTGGTATTTCTTCTATTTTGTTATTTGCCTTTCTTCTCGTATAATAAACAATTTAAAAAAAATTGTGGCCAAAATATTGATTAATACAAGCCAGAGGTTAAATTACCAATTTTCTTCAAGAAAGAGGCCCGTAATTTAAGGTGGTATAGAAGAATACTGACATTTGACAAGTGTCAATCTTCTTCTTTACTATCTTAATTGATGGGCCTCTTTGTTGAAAAAATTTGTCCAATTTGTCTAGAAGAAATATCAAATTTCTTCAAGAAAAAGACCACAAAATTTGAAAAGTATAGAAGAAAGAAAATAACCCCATATTTTTTTCTTTCATTTGAATTTAAAATTTTTTAATTTCCGCTGGAAAATGCAGGTATTTCTTTTAAAAATATAGTATCAGTTTCATGTTTGTAAACATTTTAGTTAATTTTGTAGTTTTTGTAGCCACATTTACATATCTTACTTTTTCAGGTCTAGTTTGGGACTTGATAATGGCCTTAAGTTGTCATAAAACTTGATCTAGAATCTAGAAAAATGAGATTAAAAGATTAAGAAGATAACCTGTTGTGGGAACGACCGTCACGAATTCTACAAAATCGCCATATGATACTTGCAAAATAGAAGTACACAAATACATAATGTAAGTACTAAGTACCTATTAAGATAGAGCTTTGTTCTGGCAGTTTTATATTCATATACTAGAAATCCTAATATAAAAATTTGAAATAAAGAGTGCAATTGCTTTAACCATGCCCTTTGGATTATCCCCATAGGATATATATTGTGGTACACCTACCTATTATTCTATTTATCTTTAATCAATACTTTTGTGTTTCTATGGTGTTCTGAAATTGTATGTTATTAAAATTTTAAGTCTTATATTGTAAAGTACTTAATAATAATGACAGCTTTATAATATCTTGATATAATTTTGAAGATTTATAATAAATGCCAATTTGTTTTAATATTTAATTTAAGAAAACAGTATGCCTTTAACCCTTGATTTACAATTACCAAGATGTTTAAGAAAGCAAATTTAAAGTTTAAAGATGAACTAAATACAAATGTTTTATAATTTGAGGTAATTATTTACAAAAAGATGTTAAATTGTATGTATTGGCTGCCTGATTATATCAATTAATTTAGTAGACAATTATTTTTTAATATTAATACTGAACCTGCCAATCAAACAGTAGAAAAAGTAGCCAAATCCCAGGATTTATTACATGGAAATATACAAGTATTATACAGAAGATAGCAGTACCAATTCAATTACTGTTTACATGCTAATAGTTTTAAGATATCCATTATTTTCAGCGATATCCTGCAGCTGTTCAAATTATTACAAATGATTTTAGATTTAGAGATTATAGCAGTGTTGCAAGACCTGCTTTTTAATACAGTATGGCCCAAAATAAACAGTACTTACGTAGTAGCGCGTAATTGTCAAGAACTACCAGATCTTACCTTTCCAGATACAATGAACAAAGAAACAGTCTTCAGAAATACACCACAAACCATCAATTAATTAGAGGTGTTTCCAATATTCAAGGAGAAGGTCTAAATAATATGTATTTCTTAAAAAAAAGAATTATGTAAGTTCATTACTGTTTATTTTGGACCTACTGTAGTAGATCTACTGTTTTGACTCTGTTTTCCTATTTTACACATATTTACTATTTTCGCTAACTTGACAAATTTTGTTTTCCTCATTTCTTAAATAAATTATTTTATTTTTATTTTTTGTTTCCTGACTTTAGTTTTACAAATTTTATTTACAGGGTGTCCCAATAAAAAGTAATCTATTTCCAGAGCTTATAACTTTTAAACAAATAGTAGAAACATGTGGTTTTTGCTGATATGTGTTATTTTTCTTCAGTGACACAGAAATTATTACCTATACTGGGTATTTTTTAAATTCACCATATCCAAATTTTATCAAATGGAAACGGGCTACTTTATTTTATAATTTGTTTGTATTCTTTGTTTAATTTATAATTATGGTATAACATTTAAATATTGCACATCCCGAAAAAAACTGTATTTAAGTCAAAATTTTTAATGTTTTGCTTTATTTAGAAACAAAGCTCTCTAGAGAGGTCTACTTTAACACAAAAATAGTTTTGTGGCTATAACCCATAGCCACAAAACTATTTGTAAAATCACTAAAAATTTTATAAAAGTAGTGATAATATTTCTAAACAAGAAATAAAAATATACATACAATTGACAAATGACTGTTGAATATTTTGGAAATACAAATTAGTTTTATTTGAGGTAAGTTCTACAATGAAAGATTTATAAATAAATTATTCCTCAACTGGCAGCACTTTCTTTTGATATAAGCATATAGAGGCTGCTGATTCATTTTCATTATTGTGCAGGATAACCAATTTTTTTTTATTTTTTGATTTTTGACGTTTCTAATTAGCCTTATTCGCGTAGCCTGTCTCTGACAAGCAAATTGTGTCCAATTTTATGCGTTCGCAGAGTCGAAAATCTGTGATTTTAACAAAATATCCAGCGTTCGCGGAGCACTTGTCAGTATATAGCACATGACAATAGTTATCAACAAGTCAAAATAATCAGCTAACAGCATGGATTATTTGTCAGGACATACATAGTAAGTACAAGTAATGCAAAAATTGCGTTAACTAAGAGACAAAAGTTACCGAACAAAGAGAATTTGTTGAAGTTTATAAATTATAAAAATTGAATGTTTGAACTTAAAAAAACAATTAAAAATTACAATTTTTACAATGCAATGTTTCTGATATCAATTCTAAAAACTATCTTTACAATCTATAAGTCTTCTGTCACTTTCATCTGCAGATAAAGTGTATGATAGTCATTTTGGTACATAAGTCGTTCGCGGTGATCTCTTGTCAGGGATTTGTTACAATTCGCAGTTGCGCACAAACGTTTCTGATTATTTATCAATGACAAGTCGTGTACTTGTCGGCGACAGGTTCTTTGAACAAAGCTATTGTAATCAACGAACTTATATCAAAATTAAAAAAAAAAAAAAACAACAGTTCAGCACATATTCCAATTCATAAGCAACTGATGAAGGATATCTGCTTAGAAAAAGGGAATGAATCTACTTCAAAAATAAGCTAAAACGACTTCTGTAATACAGCAAATGTTCGTATTGCATGCTAGGAAAGTGCTCATTTCTTGAGTTTTCAAAATTATTACCTTTGCATGTTGTTTTTTTTTTTAATAAAAACAAGCCAAATAATCTTAATAGTTTGTCATAATAGTACGAGCATGACTTTATGTATTCTGAGAGTATGAATTGGCTATTTATGTATTGGGACTATCTACGTGTCATACTAGTAGGACATATCGATGACACAACTAAAATACTATTGTTTGGAAAAAGTTCATTTTGAAATTTTGTAAGTCTCTATTATCATTATTTTGTCTTTGACATAAATTCTTTATATTTTATTTAAAAGCTTCGATATTTTGCTGTTAAAATTAACGATTACGATTATAAAAGCGCCCTAACTCAAGTTATTGCATAGTTTGTAAAAAATTTGAGTGTTTTTGCAGAAAATAACTCGAATTGAGGCAGTTTTAGACAGTTTGTGGCTAGATTTAAGGATATATTTTTGTTTGTGGCAGTATTTAAAGTAAAACCTTATTAATATTTTCCATCCATTGGAACCAAAAATGTAATTTTCTTTGTGTTTTAACTTGTGGCGGTTTTTGATTGAGCCATATTGATATAGCCTGTTTCATAAATATCCAACTAATAGGATAAATAGTACCATAGCTAAATATCCTACTATTCGGTAGATTTATCATTGACCATAATAAGAATTGGATAAAAACTTAATGTTCCCTCTTACCATCTTCCTATTTCAACCATTTACGAGAAATTATCTAATCTTGACATAAAGGAAGGTCCAGGTCCTGACATTATTCCTCCCATCCTACTCAGAAATTGCAGATTCGTATTGTCTCGCCCGCTCTTCTATATTTTCAATAAATCTTATCGCCACGGGTGAGTTTCCAGATTATTGGAAACTATCTTATGTCACCCCAATATACAAATCTGGTAGCAAGTCAGACGTTAAAAATTACCAACCTATATCTATTCTCAGTACTATACCTAAGGTTTTTAAGAACATTATAACAGATTACCTTACCTATGACTGCTCTCTGGCATCATAACGGATCATCAATATGGTTTTTGTGCTGGGAAATCGACTGAATTAAATCTAGTTACTTACGTCGACTTTCTGCCGGAAGCTTTGCCAGATTGATTCTTTTCTAAGGCTTTTGACAGGGTCAACCATTCTCTCTTACTTCAAAAGCTCGATAAATATGGCATACATGGGGTCGTACTGCAATAGATTAGTATCTATATCTTACCTCAGGTGTTCCTCAAGGATCACACCTTGGTCCCTTATTATTCAGCTTATTTATAAATGACATCATTCATTGATTTCAGTATGGCAAAGCACTATTGTTTGCAGATTATTTAAAAATTTTCCTATTTATGATGCCCTCTGGCTTCAGTCTGACCTTGATAATCTATCAAACTGGTGTTTCTTAAATGGCATGGACTTGAATGCCATAAAGTGCCATGTTATTCGCTTTTATCGATCCTATATACCAACTACTACTTCTGATTATAACTTAAATGGTCTGTTAATCAAATTAAAGGCCTTGGAGTTATTCTAGATGTCACTCTAAGCTTCAATCAACACACA